AATATCAGCGTTGCAGAGTTATCTGTAGCTTTATGCTGAGTTGGCTACCATTTCACTTTTGCGGCACATAAAGTCACCTACATTTCTTTTATTAATTCGTGTTTTTTCTGTATCTCATGTGTCTGTAATTGTGAATAAAGAATTTATCTTTCTATCTATAGCTCACAAGTTTAGGATTAGATAAACAAACTGAAACTAATAATTGAATGATATGATCATAAAACTTCAAAAATTATGAACTTCAAATTTTAATACTTTGAATTCAAACTTTAATTTTATCTTTTCTACTCTAAGGTTGTCTGGATGAGATTGTATAAGCGATAACGTTGCCTTTTGTACCCTATCACTCTGTTTATTTTGATTCATGTAATTTCTCTGGGGCAATAAAGGGTATATAAATATAAATAAATATTCATTATTAAATATTATTCATTAATATTTTAAATTAACTGATGTCAACTTTTGTGTCACATTTTCCCCATTTTGTGCACTATTTTTCATTGCAGGTCTGTTCTTATCCGTCGTAGCTTGTTATAAAGCCTATTGCATTCTTCGATAAATGTCCAATGTTTTTAACAATTTTTTTTATATATAAAATAAACTCTATTACACCAAAAACCACGAACAATGACAACGAGAAAGTCCCTCTCAAATTAATCCGGTTATAGTCCAGCGAAATGTGATTAATGATGATTATCCAATGGCAATCATCTCTGAAATGGTGCTTTCCGTGTGCACCGAGTTCAATGCCACTGGGCTTTGCTATGTTAGATCGATGAGTTTTTAGATACAAAATGACAGGGGACACCATAGTTACTATTAGTACATGGGAAATTTTAATAATACATTTTTAGAAATTGGTATTATCAATTTTTTACTGAGGCAGGCCAGTAAAAAATTTATTTTGGAAAAAATATTAATATTTATGGTTTTTTACAGTTATCTATAAATACAATTTCTTGGGAATTCATCCCACGCTAGAACCTTAGTGGTTTAGGATCAATGTAGTTTCAGAGATGCTTACTCCCTCGTCCACTTAGATTGTGCAGTGAACTACCTGCCGAGATTTTCTCACGTGAATACAGTATGAGGTTTTTCAAGAAGTGTATGTTAAAGTTCCTTAAGAGTCGGCAATATGGCACACCCCTGGTGTTTTAGGCATCAATAGGCTACACAAACCATTTACCATTAGATTGATGGATGCTTCTTTTTTTTTATACTAAAAAAACACAATTTAACAATAACTGTGAGAGTGTTGGAAATTATTGGAGACAGAGACTCGGAAGACTCACTGAACTACACATACTGTAGTTAGTAGTAGAGTTGGTTCAGCCAGCCATGCGGGAGAGAGGTTTCTCTATTATATTATAGATATATTTCTTTTTTACTACTTAGTCATGAGAATATTGTTACTAGCATACAGAATATCGTGTTGTCTTGAATAAAAATGTTTATAAAACAAAGTACTTATTTTGTAGGTCTGTTTTACTTCTAAATCACGAAACTATCAATAGTACGCAGGTTCGAATACATAATATTAAATTCATAATGTAAATATTTACATAAAAGTGGTATTTTGAAATTCAAATAATGTGTGAGAAATATAGTAACAACTTTTGATTAAGACATGTCGTAAAAAAACTGGTGTAATTTATTTGATACAACATGTAGGAGACATTGTTAGAGAATTTACGGCTCCTTTGAAATGTAAACTATTCAAATTCATATCGTAAAACGTATGCTGGGAACTATTTAACAATCTGTTGGATTGTTGTTTTGATAGTTCTTATAATATAGATCATCTAGTGAAGCTTTAAAATACTAAACGTAACGGTAACGGTACGGCAGTTTGGGTTGTCGCTGCTGCCCTGTGTATATCACTAACTTGACTGCTGTGATCTGACAGTTTAGCATACCGTCTTATGTCCTATGGGTGCGAGTTCGATTTCTCGCACGGTACAAATATTTCTGTTCACGAGTATGATTTTTTGTATCGGACTGAATGATTCGTCTGTCTTGTACATAATGTATCTTTACAATAAGAAATATCATTGTATTTATATCAGTTGACTAGTATACTTAACAGAAGCTCTGCTTACCTTAGGACTAGATGTCGCTGTGTAAATTATCTTGATATATTATATGATATATTACATTTATTGACAAAAAAAAGGTATACACATATTAAAAAAAATCATATCCGTACGTTTCATGTCAATTTCTGTTGTTGCGTGTGCTCATAGGCGGCGGTAATCAGTTACCATCAAGAGGCAGCAAGGTCCTTTGTTTTGTAAAAAAAAAAATTATGTATATCCTGCATAAATAATATTACATTAAATTTGCTAAATGTTTATATACAAATTTTACGTACACTGTTACACCAATATGGTTTAAAACTCGTGAATTTATAACCACTCATTCAGAATTTACGATCCGAAAGCCTATTCTGAATATTAAATCGCGGTCGCAAGTTTTATAACTTGATCTAAGTGACAGGTTGCAAGTTATAAGATTACGCGACGTTTCGCCAGTAATTAAATATTTTTTTTAATACTTACCATCAACATTAAAAGTAGACAACGTAGACGATAAAAGATTGAAGAAAGGTGCAGGTTGGTTGTTGCACAAAAGGCGTTCTTATCGCTAACGCAATCTCTACCGTACAACCTTAGGAAAGAGTGTTATTAAAAATAAAGTATGCAACACGTAAGTTAACAAAAAATTATTAAAACTGTATTATATACACTAATCAAAATTAAGCGTTATATTTAAATTTTACTTTCTTTTCTTTATTAGTAATAGTTCTAATGGAAAGTGCCAACGATCGTCGTATATTCATGAACAACCACATAGAAAACAAAAACATGTAATGCTCTTTTAATTTTTTAAGTAAATAGTACAAGTAAGAAGTAATACGATCGAAATATATGTATATGGAATACTCACTAACACGACGTAATAATATCATTATCGTTAACGGTTGTTAACGATAATGATATCAAGCTTTTACATATAAAGCTTTCTTCGAAAAGTTTAGTTGACATCATAAAATACTTTTATGGTAATTATAAAAAAAATACTCTGTATCGTTTGTAATATAACACATTTTATTTCGGAAATGATATCTATTTTATGAATTAATGAATTAATCTACATTAAAGATTATTATACTATTAAAACTATTTCATTCATTTTATATAATATTTAATAAACCTTCAAAATGATGTACTTTGAAATGATATAAGTTATGTTTATGTTACTCCTACAACTCGCTACTCACTTATAAGTTATACTTAACCTAACACTTTATTGTAAGTATTGGAACTAAAAGTCTGCATTGATTTATAACTTGTTTGAGAGCTTTTACAATTCAAAATGCACTTATCATAATGGGGTTACACTTTGACATGTACATAAATGCTCAAGTGTTACAAATGAGTTTTAAAGCTAAAAAAATAATTATGACATTATATTTTATGAAAAAATAATAAAAGAAAATTATTTATTCTTTTGCACACTATATTGTGGCAAGGCACCAGTCAACCGTCGCGTTGATCAGTGATAATAAGGCGGTGCATTATAATAATTATGTCAATGAAATAAGGAAAGGTAAAGGTTCTAAATATAAAATTGACATTATAAAGTCCATTCACAAGGGTGAAAATAAATTGAATAATAAAGTTCCAATAGAAAATTGGGCTAATTACTATAATGTACGAGATTTAAGAGCCAAACGAGATTTTCTCACATTTTTATTTCTTTGTACGAGGTTAAGTGTTTTAAGGTTGGCAATTCTGCTTGCAATGTTTAATGTCCTCAGACTAAAATTATGCTTTCACGATAAGTCGACATCTGCTAAAATGTGCTAATAAGTGACGTTTAAAAGGTGCGGGGCACGTTAAATACGCGTCGTGAGGCGTCGGTGCCCTTTGAAAGTGGACAAAATCATGACGCACGATTTTCGGGTCTGGTCAAATCGCCTTTTACCGCCGCTCCTGGTGTTTATATTGTAGGACATTGGCAATTTAAAAAGAGAGAAACGACTGGAAATGATCAACAGAATTTAATGTAACGGAATCATTATGTACCAAGTACGATTCTTGATCATTTTGTTAGTGCTGTTTTTATAAATAAGTACATCCATTTTGTTCAACAAATTATTTGTAGATACTTTAATATTTTTTAAGTATGAGAGAAACGCTTTGTGCTGCAATATACTGCTAAGTGGAATTTTATTAGCTAAGATTGCTGAATTTATCACCTTTTACTGTTATCTTTGTTGGAAAATCATAAATATATATTCCACTTTATATCCATTGGTTCTATATTGCTGTAGGAATAGTTACGTGGGTAGAAAGTTAAGAATGTGGTTACAGTTTATCTAGAGACTTGATAGTAATGTAAATACGTCGCAGGACGTGTTTCCATCGTGTAACATTTGTAAGAGAAAATTTCAAGAATCAATGAAAATATATTTTTATAAATGGTGTTTATACAAATGTTGAACTTAGATTTTTCCCATAAAAGAAAGATATTCGCCCTCTCTCTAATTCCACAAACTTTAATTATATGGGTATTACTACTATTGTAATATATAACATATAATGTTAGATTATTACTACATATATATAATATTAGCACGAACTAGCTGACACGCGTAACTTCGTCTGCATCACACTTACTTGACATTTATATTTATATTTATCCCAATTTCAATAATACCTTTTTAAATTGTAGTCTATGTGTTATTCTACAAGCTATATTAGTGTAAAGTTTTACCAAAACCCTTGCAGTAGTTTTTGCATGAAAGAGTAACAAACATCCATCCATAGTCACGAACTTTCGCGTTTATAATATTAGTCAGATTAAACGGAAGCAGAAAATCTAGAAATATTTTAATAGATATTCCACCTACTACATATTCCTAATCCTTAGTAACTGAATAAGTGCTTATTATTTTCGGCAATGTTATTATTAATTTATATTTTCTCTTGCTCTAGACCCCTGGTGTGCCAGAACGGAGCGACCTGTACCAACTCGGTCGGTGGCTTCTCTTGCATCTGCGTCAATGGATGGACTGGTCCAGAGTGTTCATTGAACATCGACGACTGCGCCGGCGCTGCTTGCTTCAACGGTGCTACCTGTATTGATAGGGTTGGATCATTCTACTGCAAATGTACACCAGGCAAAACCGGTATGTTTTTCTATTGCTCTTTTAATTACAGTATTTTCAGGTACATTATATTCTTGGATATAATCAATGGTTAACTTTTTTTTATTTACAAGTTAATATTTTACTTGTATTTTGATTAATAAGATAATATTCATATTTACGGTAAAAAAAAATTCCAAAATTTTTGCTTTCATGTCCTATACCGAAATTATATTCTGTGTTTATTTAGTCTATACATTATAAAGTGAGGAAATCACGTTTTATTTTTATTATTGCCATTTTGTAACGTATGACAATTATATTAAAGACTAATTTGTGTTGTAGGTTTATTATGCCATCTGGACGACGCGTGCACCTCGAACCCTTGTCATGCCGATGCTATTTGCGATACAAGTCCCATCAACGGTTCATATACTTGCTCATGCGCATCAGGTTACAAAGGTCTCGACTGCTCTGAGGATATCAACGAGTGCGAACAAGGTAATTTAAAATTTAGTTTGCTTTTTAACTTTATATGAAACAGTTATATTGGTTACGATATCGTAATCGTACAATTTCACTTTGATATCAAAATTCGATTTTTTTGTAACTGGAGTTGGAACAATTTGACGAGCTAATAAGGTGCAGTCGTTGTCAATATACATGTGTAGTAATTCCACGTGTAAGTATAGTTGCACGGTTGTTGTCTTGTGATCCTTGGGTTTCCCTTTGCTATTCCTAAAACTAAGATATCATATCACCTTAACTAGTTGCCATATCTCACCCTTTAACCGAAGATTAGCTTACAAAGCAAGCTGCTTTGTAAATATAGGCCAGATAGAGATACCTACGCAGTCTTACAAGTTCTACCTCGATATATTATGCAACTAATACTATAAATACCTTTTTAAAACTACTTAAGTATACCTATCCAATAGATGTCGTTAATGTAGATGAAGTAATCACATGGTTAGAATAAGCTTCCAGTGATTTATTTATTGCAAATCGGCTCAGAGATAAAGCATTTAAATAGTAAAATGTTTTTGATAATGTTACTCTATTCGGAAAAGACGTGGGCATTATCGATGTGATACTTATCGAAACTGACGTAAAATTTGGCAATATTTATTATAAACATAATAGTGATAAAGTAGATAATCCTAATGAGGATAAATTCTAAAATGGGTAAATTGCAGATAACACAGCTGGATACGGACTATAAATTAGACTTTTATTTGCCTATAAACTTTTATAGATAGTGTTTCTGTGCGTAAGAGGTTCTTAACAACAAGTTTTGTATGTTTATTACTAAAATCTAAATCGAATTAGAAATATTTAATTGAGCTGCAAAAATTTTAAAATTGCTCCTATATTATACGGTTGAGTTGTTAATAAGTTTTTAGTAGCACTGTTTCCTAAATCCCCTTTACCTAAACCCAGTATTAAGTATAGAATCAAGATATACTTGGTTTCGAACCCTAGCGGCGTTCTCAGACTACAATACTATCTGACCGACAGGAGGAGTGGCCTCTGCACTCGCCTCCATTATCGTCTGGTGAAAGTATAAAAAACTGCTGCAGCAAACAGCATTAGAATACTTAAACAAAATATATATATATATATAATATTAAATTTTAGGACTTTAATTAGTAGAGTAAATAGGTTTATTTCAAAAATATATCTTAGCAACAAGGTAAAAAGATTACTATTGTTCTGAAGTCTAAATACTTCTGAATCTTTAATTGTAACATTTTTAAGACTTTTATACTAAAGAAATTTTGAATTTGCGTTTATTGAAATTATTTATGTTTTTTTAACAGGTTCTCCATGCGAACATGATGGTATTTGTGTCAATACACCCGGATCTTTCGCTTGTAACTGTTCTGTCGGCTTCACTGGACCACGCTGTGAGACCAACGTCAACGAATGCGAGAGTCATCCCTGCAGGAATGACGGGTCCTGTCTTGACGACCCTGGCACCTTCCGATGCGTCTGCATGCCTGGTAAGTCTCTAAATTTTAATACATTTATATTCATTACATTTTTGCGAAATGGCAATAGCAACGAAGTAGAAGGGAAGCCGTCGACAATATATTCGTAGATGAGCTTCTAAGGCATTTCTCCAACGCATTATAGTTTAATAGTAACTACTTTAAATATAATTATCACACATTATAGTTTCTATTTGCAATTCTATGATCTAGACTTGATGCCGATATCGGATTTAGAACATGGCCATAGGGTTATCGTTGTAGTTAAAGTTAATACAGGAATATCTTTAAGTTCGTTGCTTTGTCTCGATGATTAGCTGACTGAGAGATAAGACTGAAGAATTGGTGATAGAATCACAGCTGATAAATCTTAATCACACAAGATCTCATTGTCCATATCGATTTACGTATAGTCTTCCATAGATCATGTTTTTGAAAATATTTTGCATCTCAGGTCCTGTCTAGTCTAGATTGGACTAGAGTCTTGAAATTGCTTTTTTTTATTTATGTAGTTATAGGTTACGGCTATGTTACAGATAGGAAGTAAATCTAGAATAGAAATAGTTAATAACACTCGTAACCTTTTTCAATTCACGCACCAACTGTACCAGTCCACTCAAAGCTATAATTCAACATTAAATATAATTTACGTAAACGTAATAAAACTACCATTTACTTATCAAATTGACAGGTGTCTGAACGTCGAGATTTCAATAATAGGTCTTATTACGGGGAAATAAAGGTGTAACTGACAGTTTGGTGCGCAAGCGCAGGTTTCCGCGTCACAGACAATGCGCGGGCGCCGCTCTCATCGCCATGGGAATCGGGTCTTAGATAGGGCTGGCTGGATTTATTTTTGTAGTTATAATAATGATCACGTTGGCGCGAAGACGTATGAATGTGTGGGCGAAAGGTATGTTATGGTAGATAATGGTATTATAAGTTCTGCTTATATGCAGTTCAATAACAGGTGTGAAAATCTACATCATTCATCACTTAGGCATTCCATTTCGTGTTAATGATCAGAGTTGTTTAAGAAGAGCTGGTGATACATAAACTCTGATATTACTTACATGATCATAGATTTTTTTTTATTCTTAGAAATATTTTGAGTCTATACAACTTAGGTTTTCTTTTGATGGACGTATTACAGGAAGGTATCATGTACGTGGCATCCCTATTGTTTCAGGGGTCCATAGGCTACTGCAATCGTTTGTCGTCAACTAGCTAGGGATGCTTTTTGTTGTTATCATTATAAAAAGACAATTAGAATTAAATAAATTGGCAACCCTAAGCATTTATATTCCCAACTCGCTTGCACACAATTGTCTCTGTCTGTCTAATGATAATCATCAGGCGGTCACCGTCAACCTAGGAGCAAATTGTAACTCCGCAACGTCAAGTCTTGCGTCATTTACCGTTCCGTGGAGAAATCTTAGATACCTAGTGTTCGCAGTGGTACTATTTAGATAACCCTAGTATTTAATAGCAAATACAGAATAGTAACTAACTAGCAAGTTTTAGATATGATATAAGGCCACAGATCTGGACTTTGCATGATATCTTCTTTTCCTCTTTCTCACCAAATTCAAGGATCTTGTTTTGTACGATATTCTCCGTTGTTGGTTGCACATAAGGCAACTCAATTACAGGATACGGAGACGTAATATCTTAGTCTACAGGAGTGGTAACGCATGAGTGGTGTCATGGGCGTATAACGGAATGTCTGTGGTCCTGTTCATGTGCATTGGTTATTCTTACTGATTACCCCCATAAATGGTGTGTTGAGGGTTGAAAGAAGTCAAGGAGAAAATTCAGAAGTATTGCACAATATATAGTCACGACTATTAATATACTAATATAACTTTGCGTGTTTGACAGTTTGCTCATTTGGTGACATTTCATGTGTTGAACACAACATCGTGTTCCGGGTCCGTTAGTCATAAATATATTTTAAGGGTTAAAGGAGTTGAACTATAAATTTATTGTAAACATCCTTGCTATGGTAAAATAAGCTATGCTATAATTCAATATAATTAGAGAGTTAATGGTAAGTACAAAGATACTTTACACAACACTGCGGTTAGTGTAATATATCGCCAGTCGTGTAACAAATTATGTCTTAAATAGTTAATAATGTTTTATAGCATTCTATACAATCTATTATCGTTAAAAACCCGATATAATTTCTTCCCTATGACTGAGGGTATATCTATAGATCGCTGATCCAGCGCGAAGGACCAATGTTCGAAGGATATATTTTATTTCGTCACAATTTTTATTGTGTTTAAAGTATATATTTACATGTAATAAAATGACTCCTAGCTACTAATGAATAGTTATATTCAAGTGTCTATTATACTTTTAATTTATACTTTACAATCTAATCTACCTTCTTTCTAATATTAGTATTGATTTAAATAACTGAATCGAAAATTAAACGTAGGTATAATAACAAACTATATTCGAATAAAAAAATACTTTTACTAATGGAACTGACTATATGCATATACCTAGGTCTTTCAAGAATACAGATAAAATAAAACAAAAGATGTCAGCGCTGCAACGCAATGATCCGAACGGGACCACTCATTGGAACGATATTATACCAACAAATGACTATTTCCGTCTCACTTTCACATCACTCGTGCATATGCTTTATCCTATTCTAGCAGTTAGAACCATAGTATTATATAACCCGTCCAACTCTAATATGACGAGGTTTATATGGAATTTGATCCTCTACGGGGTTGTTTATTTTTGGTCGCGATGCATTATTCTGTTGTGAGACAATGTTGAGCTGTTGAGCATGATTTAATCGAATAATGTAAGTCGATAATTATTTATTGCTTTTATAAATATGCACATACCTAAAATCAGTTATATTATTTTTTAGAAAACACTTGTGTTAAAAAAATATCTTGTAATTCGGTACTGTTAATTTATAGCTACTCGCTCCGGCTACTTCCGGGTGTACATGTATTATATATATAATCCTTGCTCTTGTATCACACTCTATTTAAAAAAAACCGCTTTAAAATCCGTTGCATAGTTTTAAAGATTTAAGCATAGGGACGGACAAACAACGACACCGACTTTGTTTTGAATGTAATGCAGATCGTATTTTGCTTTTTATGTTATTTCGAAGCTTTAACTTATTTAAGGTAATACGAAATATAATGTAATAATTTTAGTTATTCTTTGGTAATTGTTTCGTAAACAATTTTACGATTTTTTTTATTATTGTTATATTAATTAGCAAGTATAATTTGAAATTTTGATGTTAAAATTTATTTATTTTGATTATTATGAAAATAAATCGATATTTTATTCGATTTTGAACCACTCGCCCCATCACTACTCTATGCATGAGTGAACGCCAGACCTGTCTGGCTAGTAGACAAATAAGGGCATGAGGGAGCTGGCCATGACGACATTACAATTTTTTTATAACATAAACATGTCCCCTAGGGCTTTGCACTCGTGTTTTTTGTAATAACCGTTGAATACAATGTTAGCAGCGCAAAACACAGACATGCAATATTGCGCGCTGTATGCAACATTATGCTCTAAGCTTCTTTTTTTTAATTTCAATTTGAGTTATTAAACTGCATCGGATCTACCTTTAAGTTATATGATAAAGAATCATAGCTACTCCAAGTACTTGGAAAAATATAAAAAAAAACAGTACAGCATTATTTCCCGCCATAACATTTTGAGTATGTGTTAAATGCCAAACGTGATCACTTCAGTCTTTTGTATTTATATCATTAGTTAGGCGTAAATGTAGATATAGGTATCTCTGAACGCATAAATTATTTCATATTAAAAATTAATATACATTTACCAACTTGACGTACTAATAATAGTGCTGTATCGCTAGTTTAGACATGTTATTAAAGATAGCAGTTGCCTTTTTAAAATGTATCATTTGATGTAGATTTGAATCTTTGTTGATCCAATTTAAGATAAATAATAATAATTACACTGTTGCGGCAGTTAAGCTGGATCCTAAATAACTAGGTAACCTGTTAAATGTAACTGTTCCTCAAAATAACAGTAACAGATAGTATTTTTCATAATTATAACGTGGAACAGCAATGTATTTCTGTAACCGTCAAGTGGTTCTTAGATAATAACCGGCTTCACATACAGTTTCACTGAAATAAAAAATGTTTTTTATGGATAATAATGCAACATTCCGTCTCTAGGAATCAGTTGTGAAGATTTAATTAAAGTCCCTTAGCACATTGTGTCAAATTTAGTAGGAATGTACCATGATGTGTTTTTTTTAATAACAAAATTTCGAGACAATTCACAGTGGACTAAACTAATAACCCCATTCCTAGCAATGTACCATGTCAGGTTTAATTTACCTTCAAGTGGTTCCCCTGAAAACCATCATGTTAATTTCCTGGTGAATGGGCCACGATGGGCTAACTGATCTGACATCATTCATGTTGTCATTATTTTCATTCCACCATGGCCATCCATTAAAAAATCGCAAATGGTCTCCACAACTAAAATCCCCTCTTCACCCCTAATAAAAAACGTTTGCAACAGCATTACATAATCACACCCACGGTTTCAGTTCCATTCTCAAACACCATACCCACCTGGTTGTATTATCTAAACGCGTATTAAACATTAAAATATGCGCATAAAGGCGGTATTAACATGCGCATGCGCTGGTCATACCCATTGCCGGTTGTGATCCGAAATCGTGACATTTGCCGTAACTGTGCAAGCTATAGGCGCTAGCGATAAGGAAATTCGTGACCGTAGCGTGCTCGAGTCGGTCTGGAATGTGGGAAAGACTTTCACGTTGATAATTTGATAAATGAGACGCCCTATCTCAATAAATTCGGTCTGACTAAGAGAATGACCGAGGATATATTTGACGGCTGCGGCAGTCGAGCGGTTTAGCACAGTTTGACTAAAGATGCTCGCGGGTTTGTTTCCTCGCGAAGTATGAACATTGTATTGATCTGGGTGTTTTCTATGTATGTGCTTACCAAAAAAAAATCTCATTACTTTTCTATTTTATGCACGGTAGGGAAAAAATATTAATAGAAAAAGTTGTCGTTCAAAAGTGTCCTACGTGAATAAATAATATTTGATTTGATTTTATTATGTTTATATTGAACTACTGCAAGACAATTTTGCTCTTGTAGTTAAAAATTTCACATATTTGAATGGTATCATTTTTTTTGTGGAGAAATAAATATATTATTATTATTATTATATTTTTAATGAGAAGACTGGTGTCCGTCCCAGATTCTGTGTTTTTACAGCTTGTTACTATTGTTTAGTTTTCTGTTAACCAAAACTGAATATGTTTATTATTTTAATTGTTTTAATAAGTCGCTATGTGCTTATAACATGTATTTGTTTGACCGCGACACGCCGCATGCGCGAGCGCACGAGGGCGTGGCATCCCCCCTATATACCCACCATTTTAGTACAATAAACGTTCAATAGGCCATGTTCTGTTATAATATTATATTACATACTAACATTTATTTCTTAGAATGGTATTATTAGATCGATATATGTCTCTGTCTGTCCAGAGACATATATCGATCTAATGTCCCTATGTATGCTTAAATCTTTAAAACTACGCAACAAATTTTAAAGCGGTTTTTTTAATAGATAAGTGATCCTAGAAGAAGGTTTATATGTATAATACATGTACACCCGTGCGAAGCCAGGGTGGGTAGCTAGTAAACAATATATTAGAGAACACATGTACTACGTAGTTACTATAAGGCAGCCTTATTGCTGAAAGCAATCTTTTGATGGCAACCTTAGGGAAACGGATTGTAAATAATAAATGTTTCGTTCATAATATGTACATATGAAGATTTATGTTCGTGACTTATATTATTTTGAATTATGTTAAATTAGAAGACATTAAATTTGGTACACATATAGATAATATCCTAGATTAACAAATAAGATACTTATTACCCGAATTCATCCGGGTAACGCCATGGGATGTAACACGTTTGCTTATACTTATATCCCTTTTACGGTACGATACACCTAAGTACGAGAAAAACTGTGAGAAACCATTAAATTAGTTATTTATACCAATTTTACTTGTTAAAACCTTAAAAGGTTGGAGTCTTCTGCTTAGGGACCTTTCCATTTTTGTCAAGTTTCATTCCACTTTGAACCTTCTAAACAGCAACATAAGACTTTAAAATGCACTATTTATTTGTAGTCCTGTTTGAAACTCGAACGACAATCCACATTTGGCGGGATTGTAATTTCTGAAGTATGTAACATTCGAATGGTGCTCGCCGATCAAAATTGAACTTTCATTCATTGGTACAAAGCCTTATTTGAAACGTTCAACTACCTTCGTGTCATTACACAGCTGGACATGGTCTGAGCTAGAATATCCCGCCTGGGGCATGACTCAAACTGCGTGCAATTTAAATCTTTAAATCCATCCAATTAGTCTTATTTTTAATAGAACGCTAACATGCAGTGAAAATAATACTATAATGTTTGGACATTAAGGTTTAATTTGTATTGTGATTGAAATGAAGCGGTTATGATACTGATACAGGAGTAGCAATTAGCATTCCAATAACATCCGTTATAATCGTTTACGAATGCATTATTTTCTCTAAACTAAATTTAAATGTATAAATATAATATGTACATTTTGTGCATAAAATATGTCAATTGATGAAAAGCAGTAGTGTTTGCTGGCGGAATATTACTATGTTTAATTTTTTATAATAATGAAATAAACAATGGTTACAATTTATTGTACACTGAATTTAATAGTGACGCCACGGAATGTTCGAGAAAAAGTGAAAAAATGTATATAAAGTAAAACTAAACAACATCGATGTTCCTTACGTGATATTCTAAATTTGAATTTTATAATTTTATTTTTAAATGTATTATATGGCTATGTGCGATCGCAAACTAGTAGAGTAAAGACACACCAATAACGTGTTAATTAATAATTAATAAAATTTTTATATTTTGACTGTATTGCACATATATATTCATATATGTGCATGTGAAAATAAATTAATTGTAAAATATAACTATTTCCTATATTTTATACTAGAAAATACTGTTACCCGCGTCTGTCGTCCGCCTGGATTTTTTTATTAAAATTAATATAAATTCTAAAATAAGAGTTTCCTGAGTTTTTCTTCTAGTAATCAGCGAGCGAAAGTCCCTCCAAAATTGGTGCAGTCGTTTCCGAGATTAGGAAGTTCAAGATTTTTTTTATTATATACGTTAACGTAGATAGATATACATTTAGTAAAAACTGTTAATTTGAATTTACGAATAGATGCTTTAGTTTAATTTATTTTATAGATTTGCTCGATTTTTATACATTTTCTGATATATAATTTTATTTTTATTTTTTCAGGCTTCACGGGAATACAATGCGAAGTGGAGATAGACGAGTGCGCCAACGATCCTTGCCTCAATGGAGGTGTGTGCCATGATATGATCAACGCGTTTAGATGTACCTGTGTTATTGGGTAAGTTTCTAAATGCATAATATATTAATAACATACATAGGTATCTTCCGGTGAAGCTGTAAAGGCCAGCAGCCGACAGCATTAGAGTAGTCCGAAAAGAAATAATTTGGGTGCATGCCCAACCTATTTCTTTTTACACTGGCTGGTTGGTCACTTTATTCTAAATTTGAATTTCAAAAGGAATCTGTAAACAGTATTTAAAAAATAATACGAGCTGAGTTTCTTGTCAGTTCTTCTCATCTCGAAAGCATTCCGAACTGATGGTAGATTTAACGTATCATAAGAGTGTAGTAGATCTACATGAATAAAGATATTTCAATTTCATTTGCCATACTTAAACAACTCTATGCCCAGCTTTAAGGTAAAGAGTGAATTATAAATAATTTTCTTTTAAATAATAATAACTCATTAACAATTCAGACAGATTGATTGAAAAAAATAATAATTCAAAATTAAAAAAAAATTACACATACACTGTGTATTTCACATACACACAGGCATATATACTATATTGTATGTTGCCTGTGCCATTCTCAGTGCTTGTGCGTATAGAACAATAGTCTTTCACAATAGAATCTTAATAATGTTCAAATTGAAAATAATTATGGTCGAATTTCGACCACTAGGCGATTACTAATCTTAGTAATAATAAAACTCTTCTTGCAGATTTACCGGCGCTCGATGTCAAGTGAACATTGACGATTGTGCTTCAAGCCCTTGCCGCAATGGAGGGACCTGCCATGATTCTATCGCTGGCTACACCTGTGAATGTCCTCCTGGGTATACAGGTGAGTTGAAAGCAGATCAGGAGAAACTAAAATAACTAATACCACAGAACTTTTATCTTGCGGTATATTCACAATTTCATCCGGTATGATCGTAAATGTAGCTGAATTCGTGTAATAAAACAAATATTATTCATACAGGAATGTCGTGCGAGACTAACATTAACGACTGTCTTTCGGCGCCATGTCATCGAGGGGAGTGCATTGACGGCGATAACAGCTTCACCTGCAACTGTCACCCTGGCTATACGGGCCGGGTCTGTCAAACGCAGATTAATGAGTGCGAGTCCAATCCTTGCCAATTTGGAGGTACGCGTAGCAGCAACTATTATTGACATTACATTAATAATATTTACCCTTCCGACCGATTCTCCGTCCAATACAAAACAAAAATTACAACGCCCTGAGCCGAGGTTGCAACACCTAGCGGTACCCTCAGACTAAAGTCGTATCCGTCAGGCAGGAGTTAGCAGGAGATGCAGCCGCTCCATAAGTCCTTCCGTAGGTTTGAAGTGCCATCTGCACTTGTCCTCTATCGTTCAGTGAAAAGGCCAGCTGCGGCTTTTAACAATATTAGAATAGATAAAAAAACTACAGTTTAAATCAACAGTACCTAACTTGTAAACGGTCATTTAATAATCCATTGTTTTTTGATATTGTGTTTAGTTGAAATGTAATTGCTTTTATCCCCATACATTTTCTAAAAATTGTTGTCTTAGACTGAATCTATCAGTTTCCTAACTACAATAATGTTATTCAGTTCTGAAGCTTAAGATATCGAGTAAAAATCAAAGGTTTTGAGTAACTTTCTGAGTACAACTCTTACATTGGATCCATGTTTCCTAAATTTGTTACAAAAGAAAATACCATACTAGTTATTAATTAACATTATCATTTATATAATCGACACTTAAAAGAAAAGTGACGTGACAAAAAATATTGAACGTTAAAATGTTTTAGGATACAAATATTGTGAGGGCTATCTAAAATATTGGAAGAATTTGATATAAAAAAGACTTAGTAATTAGATTAAAAGCTATTGTTGTTAATATTCTAACATATGTTTTATAGGACATTGCGAAGATTTAATAGACGGCTATCAATGTCGCTGTAAACCAGGAACCTCGGGCCGAAACTGCGAGATCAATGTTAACGAGTGCTATTCAAACCCATGTAGAAACGGCGCTACTTGCATCGACGGCATTAATAGGTTTGTTTGCTTTTCTATCTTTTTCAACTACCATATACGTATATTTAATCTTAAAAAGTTTGTTGGTTTATTTGGTAAAATTAGTTATATCTGCTTTTTTAAAACTTAATCTTTCTTTCTTCGTATTTACATATTGCTTTTCTATTTCTAACACTTTAATAAAGTCATTGCTATTCTATGAACTAACTTCTATGTAAGTGTCGTTAACTTCGTATTATTAAAACAAATATTTATTTGGTGTTTTTCTAAATTTTCTGCACTTCTGTACTGAAATTTTCTTTTTCTTTGCACGCAGCAATTATTTTCAGTAAGTTTCATTACAATATTTTATCTTTATTATATTTGCATTCAAATTATAGAATTAGCTATTGAATTATTTCAATCAATTACTATATTTTTTTATACGTGATAAAAATGTCATTTTAAGACATATTAAGTATTAAAATTGTTGTATTTGTATGTGACTATATTATTTCATACTGTCAATAATATAATAATACAAATTAAATTTAACAAGTTACTTTTGTTAGAAATTACTTCTAAAGATTCATTTTATCAACATATTTTATCGTATACAAGTCACTATTTATCTTTATACATATTTGAGGTACCACAAGGAGTTACGCTTGGACCCATATTCATTATCCATCATATTCAGGTACACATGCGAGTGTATACCCGGCTTCACTGGCCAGCACTGTGAGACTAACATCAATGAATGTCTGCCGAACCCTTGCGCCAATGGCGGAAAGTGCATCGACAGGATCAATGGATTCCAATGCGAATGTCCGAGAGGATACTATGACGCTCGGTACGTACATATGTCATTCGACATTGTAAATAGCTTGTAATATTTTACCATATGTTATTTTGGATTAGGTGTTATGTTTTGTTCATATTTTTTATTTGTTCTTTACAGATGCTTATCTGATGTTAATGAATGTGCTTCAAATCCATGCACAAATGGCGGGAGCTGTGAAGATGGAGTGAATCAGTTTATATGCCATTGCTTACCTGGATACGGAGGTAACGTCAATACTTATTGCACTGTATTTTTATTTTCAATAAATACTCTATTTCACTTACAACTTAAATAATTAATATTAAAAAGAATATGAGCGATCGTGGGGTTATATCTGAAAGATATCTTTTTTCTTGATATTAAAATACATATAGCCTCACATTCGCCACAATATTTTAAGTCAATAACGTTTCTATCTTGTATCTATATGTTTTAATTATTAGTTTATTGAAACTATACTATTTTATTTAAATCATAGTTACCAAGTAGAGGTTTCTTTTTCGTAGTTATGATTATTTTGTTTCATTTTAAAACTTACGTTTCCATTTAGGTCAACGTTGTGAACGCGACATCGACGAGTGCAGTTCAAATCCATGCCAACATGGTGGTACATGTCATGACAGGCTCAATGCTTACAAGTGCGATTGCATATTAGGATTTACTGGTGAGTAATTTACTTTATTCTATCTCCTAAATTATATGTTTATCATTAATAATTAACGTATCATCAACATTTGTATGATCATCATTATCATTTGCTGAACTTGAGGCTCTTCTTTTGAGAGGAAGACTTAGTTATTACTATCACGCTGGAGCTTGCTCAGTTGCTCTAGAGATCCTAATATGGTATTATGTTTACAGTTTGCCTTCCTCCACTGAATTTGTTATGATTTATCATATCAACTTACGTGACGTGGTTGACCAGAAGTGGTAACAAGTTGTATATCTATTTTATTACGAATAACTTTATTAATCTATATGTGATGACGCAGTATTAATGTATCTCATATATACATATTCGTCTTTAATTCTGCATTTTCTAGAAAAGTTATCTTAAAATTTCCAGAGACGAATTCTTCCGATGTTACTTTAAAAAATAGTCAATCATTAATTATTATTTTTTATTCATCATTGTTTTAGGCGTAAATTGCGAGACGAACATCGACGACTGTGCAGGCAACCCTTGCCTGCACGGTGGCTCCTGCATTGATCTCGTCAATGGTTACCGTTGCGTGTGCGCACCGCCACACTCCGGTCGGAACTGCGAGAATACTCTAGACCCCTGTACTCCCAACCAGTTAGTATTGTTGTTTTACTACTGTTTTTTACTTTGCTGCTGCACTGAAATCAGTTTGGCATTCTTTGAAGTCTGAATAAAAATAAATTGTTATTACAACTAAATCTGGTTTTTGTGGTAGATGTCGTCATGGAGGCCGGTGCGTGGCTGAGGCGTCATACGCAGAATTCACGTGCCAGTGCCCAGTGGGATGGACGGGTGCACTGTGCGAGCGTGACGTGGACGAGTGCCTGGTCTCGGCACCGTGTCACAACGAGGCCACTTGTATCAATACAGAAGGCTCTTATGCCTGCCTCTGCGCACGCGGATATGAAGGCAAGGACTGCGCTATCAACACGGATGACTGCGCTTCGTGTGAGTACTTATCTATTCTAAAAGGTTTTACTTATTTAAAGAAAATTATTTTACGGCCTGCGTGGTCAAGCTGTTTACCACAGCAACTTACTTCCGATGATCGACTAACATTTGTATTAAAGAGCATGATTGTCTAGTGCCCATAAAGCGAGTACTGCTTAACTTTGAACTTATTATTAAAGTTCAAAAATTTGTTTTATTGTGTTATTTAACACATTAATCACAGGAACTTTAGATTGAAAAAATCTTTAATATTGGACTATTTAAGAGATTTTATTGTAAGCAGGCTGTTAGTGCTACGATTAATAGAAGAGCACCAATAGAAAATATAACAAAAACAGTACAAATGTGATGCAGGCAAAGTTATGAGATCAGTATCTGACGTATTTTTATCCGTCCGGATTATTTACCCATCACTAGTACAAAAATAATAAGATCGTATACTTTATACGACCTTATTAGTATTATACTAAAGTTTTTATCCGCCGTTATAATCCTATCTAAGACGTCCAGTTTTTTTTATAACAAAATGTCTTTTCAGTCCCGTGCCAAAACGGCGCTACCTGCCTGGACAGCATCGGTGATTACAACTGTATGTGCGCGAGTGGGTTCGCCGGCAAGCACTGCGAGGTCGACATCGACGAGTGCCAGTCCAGACCCTGCATGAATGGCGCCACTTGTAATCAGGTTTGTATCCAGTTGTAACTATAAAAATATAAAGTCTTTTGCATATACCTTTTTCATCTTATTGGTGGTGTAGGCGATAGAATGTATGATAAAAAATGGTAAATACTTGTAATGTAGGTATGAACAGTAATAGCGCAGAAGTGACAATAAAAACTATGATAATTCTAAAAACTGCAAAGAGCCATTCAAAAATGAATACATAAAAATTTGCAGAGTTTGTAACAGTAGGGTTAAAGGTTGTATATGTAAGGGCAACAGTAGTGGAATTACTGAGTGCTCTAAGTTAAGATCCTTACGCTGTAAAGTTTGATAACACGCTTGTTATATCACAAGTACTTCAAGTTTTCATGATTTTAGCTGGATCCTTACCATCAGAGGAACTAGATGTATTATAAGTATGCTTCTAGTTTTGTATGCTATTTAGTATTTTCCTACCATTGAATAACATTTTTAATTATTTTAATCGCATGTATTGTACATGCACTATGATTAAAGTTATGTTTATTTCTGTTTTTAAAGTGTTTGATTATATTTATATTTATTCGACCTTACAGTACGTGGCCTCATATACGTGCACATGCCCGCTTGGTTTCTCCGGAATCAACTGTCAAACTAATGACGAAGACTGCACCGACTCCAGCTGCATGAACGGCGGCACCTGCATCGATGGTATCAACTCGTACAACTGCTCCTGTCCTCTTGGGTAAGATTGAGATTTATATAATGTTAACATTTCATGCCGATCGACGATCTGGTCAAGATCGCTGGAAAGTGTTGGATGCGAGCAGTGCAGGATGGTCTTGGAGATTTTTGGAGAGCCCTTTATTTAGGAGTGAACGTCTTCCGAGCTGAAATGATGATGATTTCAGCCCACAAAAAGCAAGTCTTAACAAATTACATTCTATCAGTTGTGTATTAATTTTTTTTACCAGTCTCTGTATGGAAATAATTTACAAATCCTTTTTGAGTTCATTGTTCAACAACTTTACCCAAGTCTTTGGTAAAGACAATAATAATTCAAACCTTTGCCTAAATTTTGTAACGTTTATCATTTAACTCTTTATGTATCAATATAATTCATTTATGATCCTTTAGTTCACATATATCTATATTACATGTATGTTTTGCCGTATTAATAGTATTTTCTCTTGCAGCTACACTGGCTCCAACTGTCAGTTCCGTATTAACATGTGCGACAGTTCACCGTGCGCTAACGGTGCCACCTGTCACGATCACGTGACATATTACACTTGTCACTGTCCCTACGGGTACACCGGCAAACACTGCGATGCATTTGTTCAATGGTAAGTAATATTTAAATAGCTAGCTAATACATTTGTAGTTTTTTATAAGGTTATTGTGTAAGCCAAGGCCAAAGTAATTAATAAACCTAAATATAACGGTACATTCAGTCATAAACCAAACAGAACTTTTACTATACGTGTTGTACAAGTTACAAAAATACTTGTTTTTTTATAAAATATTGAAACCAATATAACGAGCCCAATACAAACAGTCAAATCATACCTATGAAGATAAATTATTATATTGTGCGCAAATAGAACTTACGACCATCGAAAGGCGAAGTCATATTTCAAACCGCTACACTTTCGAAGCAGTGAAATTACTATTTACTAAATGATATATTTTATACAGGTGCGAGAATGACCCATGTGAGAACGGTGCGACATGCTCCCAAAAGGGACCACAATACACTTGCACCTGTGCTCCCGGTTGGTCCGGAAAGCTTTGTGACGTTGAAATGGTGTCCTGCAATGACGCAGCCCTTAGGAAAGGTGAGAATATTTATATATTACGGATATCTATACTAATTGTATACGGGGGAAGAGTTTCTATGTCGTAACAAATAAACTTACAAAACTATTGCAGCAATTTCATAAATTCTTTCAGCATTAGAATGCTACTTCTGAGCAACATCATAGATGATATTTAAATTACAAAAGTCTAATAATCTAATCCAAGTTTTAAAAAGTGCCGTCAAATGTCTTGCATAGCATGTGTTATTAAAGTGTTCAGTCGGGACAGGTCGCTTGTGATATGATTAGCTTTCATACTTCATCGCATCATTAGGATGGTTTAAATTATTGTTGCCATTCTAGCTAGATGTTGTGATATATTATTTTAGTTTCAATATTACTTTTTTCTCGTAGCGTAGATAATAAATAACTTATTATTATTCAAAGCTTTATCGTTCTCGCAATTTCTCTTTTACCTTTGAATGATTGTAATATATTTTTTATTTTCAGGTGTCAAACCAAAACAACTATGCAACAATGGTACCTGCGAAAATATTGGTAACTCACATCGTTGCCATTGCCTTGATGGGTACACTGGTTCGTACTGCCAGAAGGAGATCAACGAGTGCGACTCTGCACCCTGCCAGCACGGCGCCGTCTGTAAAGATCTGGTCGGAACCTACCAATGTACCTGCGCTAAAGGTTTCCAAGGACAAAACTGCGAACTTAACGTCAACGACTGCTTGCCGAACCCCTGTCAGAATGGAGGCACCTGCCATGATCTCATCAACAGTTTCTCGTGCTCTTGTCCGTTCGGAACTTTAGGAAAAATCTGCGAGATAAATGTCAACGATTGCAAGCAAGACGCGTGTCATAACAACGGCACTTGTATCGATAGGGTGGGAGGCTTTGAATGCAAGTGCCCTCCAGGTTTTGTCGGACCAAGATGTGAGGGTGATATTAACGAATGTCTATCAAACCCTTGTTCAATGCCAGGCACTCAAGACTGTGTACAACTAGTCAACGATTATCATTGCAACTGTAAAACTGGGTATATGGGGAGACATTGTGATGCTAAGGTGAACTTTTGCGCAAATTCACCTTGCCAAAATGGTGGTATTTGCTCTGCAATACAAGGGGGACACGAATGTCTGTGCAGTGAAGGATTCTATGGCAAAAATTGTGAGCACTCAGGCTACGCTTGTGATTCTAATCCATGCCAGAATGGTGGCTATTGTAGAACATCGGAAATTGGAGACTATGTCTGTGATTGTATGTCTGGACTATCTGGGGTCAATTGCGAGATAGATTCTATGAACGAGTGCCTAAGCAATCCATGTAAACATCCGGAAGCCCGTTGTATTGATAAACCTGGAGACTATCTTTGTTACTGTCCCACGCAATGGACCGGCAAGAACTGTGATATTCATGACTCTCATGCCAGAGGAGGCTACGGAAGCCCAATACCAGGAATGAAGAATCCAAACATGAACCTCTCGCCGGAACGAGTATTAGAACTAGACTTGGCTTTCCAAAGAGAAAATTGTGTGAAATTAGGTTGTAAGGAGAAACGAGGGGATCACCGATGCGATGAAGAATGCAATACATACGCTTGTGAGTTTGATGGCAATGACTGCTCATTGGGCATTACGAATCCATGGGCGAATTGCACAGCTCCTATAAAATGTTGGGAAGTGTTCATGAATGGCGAATGTAACGAAGTCTGTAACACACAAGCTTGTTTATTCGATGGCCGAGATTGTGAGAAATCCTTACAAAAATGTAACCCCATATATGACGCGTACTGTCAGAAACACTACGCTAACGGACATTGTGATTATGGATGCAACAACGCCGAGTGTAATTGGGATGGTTTGGATTGTGAAAACGAACCGCCAGAGTTGGCTGAAGGAGTCATGTCTGTCATATTACTAATGGATATGCAAACATTCAGAGAAAATTCTGTCGCGTTCCTACGAGATTTAGGCCACCAGTTGCGAACAACAGTTTTGATAAAGAAAGACCACTCTGGCAATGATATGGTGTATCCATGGCAAGGAACAAGAGACCTTGGTATTCAAGACACGGAAATCGGGAAGAAACACCATATCATTTTCACCGAGAGGGCGCAACAAGGCGTACACGTGTATTTGGAAATCGATAACAGAAAATGTACCACCATGTCCGGTTCTGAGTGTTTCTTCTCAGCGCGTGAAGCTGCCGAGTTCTTAGCTGCTACCGCATCAAAGCACTCGCTTTCGCCGGATTTCCCGATTTTTCAAGTCAAGGGAGTGACCACCCCGACCGATGAGGTACCGACAAATTCCAAATATGTTTTTATCGGCGTCATATTAGTTCTGCTTGCGGGTTTGCTCATCGGAGTCCTAGTGACCGCACAAAGAAAACGCGCTGCCGGCGTTACTTGGTTCCCAGAAGGATTTATTCGGACAAACTCTTCTACAAGACGTCGCTCCCGTCGTCGAGGGCCTGATGGACAAGAAATGAGAACTTTGAACAAAGGGTCAATGGGTTGTATTGATTTGGATATCAATGGAGGTCATATGGGACCACCGCATTGGTCGGATGAAGACGATGATGGATCGGCTCCACCACGAGCGAAGAGAGCGCGAGGTCCTGGTGACGCTAATGGTGCTCCGGGTGGTTACGCATCAGACCATACAGTCATTACGGATTATGAAGAAGCAGGACACGACCCAAGAGTTTGGACGCAGCAGCACTTGGAGGCGGCAGATATTAGAGTACCACCTAGTATGATGACACCGCCCGCCATAGTAAGTATTATAAGTTTGTTTTTTTTGATAAATAGATAAATGTATAGTTTTTGAGGAGAATAATAATAAATTTATCTTTATTTTTATTAATAAAGAAATATTTAATATTTTTTTTAATAAAGACATTATTACCATTTTTTTTAACATCTGACTAACAGAGTTTAGTAGGTATTGGAAATATAATAAACTTTCATGTGAAATTAAATTACAAATATATAAAAGTTTTATAAAAAAAAATACATAGTACCATAGTAAAATAAGATCATAACATTAGAGATGGAGTTCCCATTAATAAAGTACCCCTGGTAGTTTATAGTCACATATTTCAACTTAAAGTTGCAACTAAATTATTTAAAAGAGCAACACTAAAATTTCTTGATCGTTCTTCTTGTGATGTGACTACTTTCCAAATAAGCAGTACATTAAACAATAAGTAGTGATTATTCAAAATTGCTTAAATGTAAGTTTATTTGAATAAAGAATTTTCTATTTTATTCTATACTATTGTAAAGTATAAAATCGACTGACTTACAAAATATTCGCCATTTGATTAAAGATAGCATAGGACAAGGAATTTGCTACAATTTGTTATCCTTTTGCAGCATGACGGTCACGTGGATGTAGACGCTCGTGGTCCCCTCGGTATGACGCCACTAATGGTAGCAGCGGTGCGTGGTGGTGGACTCGATACTGGTTCGGATGCTGAAGATGAGCAGACGGCGCACATTATATCAGAGCTGGTAGCTCAAGGTGCACAGCTGAATGCCGCTATGGATAAGACTGGAGAGACTAGTCTGCATCTCGCTGCGAGGTATGTAACTGATCATTTTGCTAGTTTTTATATATATGTCATTTATGTATAGGCAGTTTATATAAAAATGCGTAAAATAAAGCATATTGACTACAAACACGAATATATTTAATATCAAGGTACTTATTAGCAGCATTCCGTGGTAAAGAAGATCTGCTAATAAAGAAAAACTTCAAATTCTCCTGGACTACTTTTAATATGGTGAATTTACCTAAAAAATGTTTATTTTATTCAATACAATACAATTTTTTAGGTTTTTATTTAATTCAATCTTCGACCTGGTAACAAATGAAGAATAATTAAATATATCTTTTAGGTAATTTATTTTTAGTTATATATCTACGTTGGTTACAATTATAAATTAAACGTAATACATTTTATTGTTTACTTTCCCATTATATTGGAATGTACATAGTTGTAAATATTCTTGAGCTAATTAAAATCTTTATTCTATAGATACGCCCGCGCAGACGCAGCGAAACGTTTATTAGACGCCGGAGCTGATGCAAATTCCCAAGACAACACTGGGCGGACGCCGTTGCACGCGGCAGTCGCCGCTGATGCTATGGGCGTCTTCCAAATACTACTCAGGAACAGAGCCACCAATTTGAACGCCAGAATGCACGATGGGACCACACCTCTCATACTGGCAGCTAGGTATGTTAGATGTTTTGAAATGATATTTCGAATACGATAATTGTTTTCAAACTATTCTAAATTCAAATTTGGAATATAAGCGTTTCCAATTTGAAGTATTTTTCATCTAGGTATGCTTCATTTTTTTAAATGATATTTCGAATACAATAGTTTGTTTTCAAACTATTTTCTATTTAAATTTGGAATACAAGCGTTTCTTTTTTTAAATTTTTTAATTTCCTTTTACTGTAAAACTTTGATATGGCAAGTGTACACTTAGCAAGTAATCATTATGATTTACTTAATATTCAATAGACAATACATCATAACAATATAACAGTTTTATTCAAACACAAGTCTTATAATATTTCAGTTATTAAAAACAGGCTTAATTATTCATTTCTGTTCACAGGTTAGCGATAGAAGGAATGGTGGAAGATTTAATCAACGCTGATGCTGACATTAACGCAGCAGACAACAGTGGCAAGACAGCGCTGCATTGGGCCGCTGCTGTCAATAATGTGGACGCTGTCAACGTGCTGTTGATGCACGGCGCGAACAGAGACGCGCAGGATGATAAGGTACGCTCATATATACTTTTTTTTTTTGCCTACAGTACAAATGTTAGACTAGGAATATTTTTATAAATCTACTTAATAATGTACTGAAAACTTCTTGTCAAATCAAAACAAATTTGATTGGCTAAGAAATGTCTTTAATGTCTTCAAATGTCTTTCTTGTCATTCCTAAACAAATTTGCTAAGATAGTGATCTTAGCCAATCAAATTTGTTTAGGCCAAGGATTTGTCTCAGCAATTTATGTGCGTTTTCGAAATCTATATATTAACGAACATGTAAATGTCATTATCCAATAACAGATGAGGGTAGATATATCTTGTAACGTGTCCCCTACTATACTGGATGGCCGTGTCGGTACTATTTGTCTATCTATATATCGTATAGTACAAGTTTTTCATATCCTAACCGTTATGACATTTGAAGCAGATGTTAGTAATACTTCAAAATATCATTTTTATTTATCGTATGTCATTTTGTTTCTTATATAGGATGAGACACCTCTCTTCCTTGGAGCAAGGGAAGGCTCATACGGTGCGTGTCGAGCATTACTCGACGCGATGGCGAACAGAGAGATAACAGACCATATGGACCGGCTGCCGAGGGACGTGGCGCAGGAGAGGATGCACGACGACATTATGAGGCTGCTGGATGAGCATTGTCCACGGCCACCACCACAGCATCATCATCTCATGCGTGAGTATCTAAAGGCGATATGTGTAAGATATGTTCTACTCATTCGATCAAACCATATAACAATACAACATCGCATTCTGTAAATGATTTATTTTATTTTTTTATACTAAGAAGATGGCAATCTTTTTTGATAATAAATTTATATAAAATTATCTTTATTAAAAATTATTTCTTAGCATGAGTAATTCGCATTTACAATTCAAAAGTACTTTTCACTAAACGTTTTGAATTCCCTTATTACACTAAATATTGTATAATAATGACTTTAGTTATTCAACTACTGTAAATGAAAATCTCAGAACGTAAATGTATATAGTAAAGGGTCAAAAATACTTTTTCAATAACATTCTATTGTTATCCTTCACAGCGTCCCCAAACCCTCACCCTCAGCTGCTAAGTCAGCCGACGGTGATCAGCGCCACAGCCGCAAAAGGAAAGCCCAAAAAGCCGCGGGCGAAGGCTGGCCCCGACAGCCCGCAAGACCAGCTTTATGACAACAACAATATGCAGCACACGCAAATTAGACGGTAAGAAATTTGAATCTTCTTGACTTGATGCCTGCATACTTCTTAAATCAACAGTGGGATAGATAGTTCGGCATAAGAACAGAGAATTCCTCTCTATACTTTAGAACATTAGTCTTAAAATACTTCAATTGTATTTAAGCAATCATGCTTAACTATTTTACTAGTGATTTTGATACCTTCTAAAGTCTAAAGTCTTCTGCATAGAGAGATTTGCTACCGATTTTGTATAACGCATTACACCTTGACAAAAATCTTAGTCTTCAAGAATGGCAATATAGGTAATTATAACAATTAAAATTAAAAGAATCTGACTTAAGAACAAAATAACATCAAAAATGTACTAATTGAGTTTCTTGCCAGTTCTTCTCAGCTGAAGTAAGTAGTTAGTCGAACTGGAAGGTAGGGATAGTGATAAAAAATATGACGTGCAGAGACTAAAAGGACCTATGTGAATAAATAAGTTTCAGTTTGAATATGATACTCGTGTGGGTAATAACTTCCATCGGTTGGGACGTCAGCTTGCTTGTCATTCCACCTTATATATAACTTATAATATTTATAGTCTACTATTTTCCTCCATGTATATTTCTGATAATAATTCGAAGGTACATCAACAGGAAGCCGAGCGTAAAAAAGAACAACAAGAAAGTGGCACAAGAGGTGCCACAGAGCGTCGAAAGCTTAGGCTCCAGTCTGAGCCCCGTTGAATCGCCGCTCCCAAATTTACAGGTAATTTTATCTTTCACTTTTTTCCCAGTATAAAAACGTAAATGTTTTCTTTATTTAAACCACCTGTGTAATATTAATGATCAGTACTATTCGTTGAATAATATAAAATCAATCTTATTATGATTCGTCTAAAGTAGTGTCTATAAACTTTCTTATATTTTTGGCTTCATTTACTCATGCCTACACGTTGGTTGCAAAGACAGCTAGTTCTCCAGCCTAGTTATCATTCACAGTACGACAAGAAATTATCCATTACTGTCAACTAATATCAAAACGAGGAGGGACTTCTTAATTGGACTGTATTTTTTATCTGTCAAAATCGGTTAAAGTAGAAAAAATTACTTAGTGTTTTTGTATTTGAAAGCTGGAACTCATGTATTATATACATTAATTTTATTAAAATGCGATCGGAAGTTTTTAAGTTATCTATAATAATACATTTTTATGTCCCAAACACTATATTGTGTAATCTGAACACTATATTATGTCATCTAAACACGATATTATGTCATCTGAACACGATATTATATGATCTGAATACGATAATATGTCATCTGAACACGATATTGTATGATCTGAATACGATAATATGTCATCTGATCAGGATATTATGTATTCTGAACAAGATATTATGTGATTCCTAACAATATTGGTCCATTTAATCTAGGACATGCCGTCGCCGTACGACGCGACGTCGCTGTACTCGAATGCGATGGCGCAGTTCGCCGGCATTGAGCAGCTCATGCAGCACAAACAGCCGCCAAGTTACGAGGACTGCGTCAAGGTATTACATGTTTTATTTTATCAAGCATAGTGTTTAAAGTTGTCTGCGAGGATATTTATATCTCTTTTGTAAATGCGTTTGATGGTTTTCGGATAGAGCTGGAATAGCAGTATTAATTACTGCTTTAGATACTCAACATACTATATCAAATTAGACACATAAAATAATATATGGCCGCCCTGGCTCTGCTTGTGTGCAAATATAGTAGGAATCTCTAATTTATTGGAAATAAAATTGAGTTCATATCATATAATAATATATCGCTCATTGATATTTTATACACAGATATTTGTAATACGTTATTTTTCTTTTTTTTTTTATAAAATTTTGTTTTAATTTATATGAACTGTCTAGAAACTGGATTGTTATTCTTTTTAAATTGTTAATATAAACACAAAATTTTATTCAAATCAGTTCAACCAATTCTACCGATTTCGATGCAATTTTGTATATTTCAATGTGTTCCTGGATGATTTGAAATCACAATTGGACCTGGTTTTTTATTGGATAATAATAGAATGGTGCACGTGTCTGCGTTAACGGTTTACGTTGACTAGGCATTTGTAGTGGATGACAGGACGAACTTCATAGTTAGATCAGCCAGCCCATCGTGGATCCCGATGGTTTCCAGGGGAAACCGCGACCTGACATGGTCCCAGTCCAACATTACCACCCCCTTTCCCTACGAGTGGGGTTGGTTGTATAATCCCCTATGACGGGAGGTTATGACAGTGAGTGCATGTATGTAAAGTTGTTGCAGACGGGTCAGTCGATGCAGCAGGCGTATGGCGGCGGCGCGCTGGGCGCCTCCCTGTCGCCGCCCTACTCCAACCACTCGCCCACGCACAGCAACCACACCACCTCGCCGCACGCATACATAGGTCAGTACCCTACTATACAATAGAATACAATACAACAGCTTCCTTTACACGTACGCTCTTTCACGCGTGAATCTAACACTAGCACGCAGGAAACAATGAGCACGTAACTATAATTTATTTCGCGCGCACGCGCATTCTTGCGTGCTTTGACGGTATTTTTTTTTTAATAATTATTTTTAATAATTACTTTATAAGTATGTTTTTGCAACATGCTCACAGGATGTTGTAAAAACATACTTATAAAGTTATTGATCTAAATATATATAACTCAAAGGTGACTGACATAGTGATCTATCACCGCACAGCCCAAACCACTGGACGCATCAGGCTGAAATTTGGTATGCAGGTAGATGTTATGACGTAGGCATCCGCTAAGAAAGGATTTTGATTAATTCAACCCCCAAGGGGATGAAAGTTTGTATGAAACTTTGTCAATTTTAAACCGATCGGGCTGAGACTTTGCATGCATAAAGCTACTATGACATAGGCTAAGAAAGGATTTTGATAAATTCCACAAAATATAATTTAAATTTACGCGAGCGAAGCCCCGATCAAAAGCTAGTAATTTATAAAAAGTGTATCTGGAAAATAAAATAATAAAAGTGGAATAAATAATAAAAAATTAAAAGAAAGTGATATTGCATGAAACCTACACATTATTACGCACGAAAGAGTGAACACAAAATGATTGCACCCTCTAAATAGCTCCTGATCGTGCGTGAAATAATGCGAATAGCATAGCTATAGCATTAAATCCACCTTTTGTACCAATTTTAGTGGTCAATAAAGCAAATAAATAAAGAAAATAAATAAATAATATTATGTAAAGGTAGTTAATACAATGGTATAGAAAATTCTTTATTTATATAACTTAAATTTTATCAGTTTTAAAAAGTAATTTCTTTAATCTACCGCTCGATAGGAAAGCTGTTTCATTACAAAAAGAACAAGTAGTAAACTTGTATGTTGCTATTTTAAATAACTATTGTTCATCATTACATATTTAGGATATTCTTTGAATAAACTGAACGTTACGTTAAATTTTATGATATATAAAGACATCCTTGTTCTTAAATATTTCCTGAAGAGGAAATATTATTTTAGATTGATCAATCAGTGACAAAAGGAGACAGAGAATAAAGACTAATTGGTGATAAATTTCCAGGATCTCCATCACCAGGGAAGTCAAGACCGTCACTGCCGACGTCGCCGGCGCACATGGCGGCCTTACGCCACTCGCATCAGACACATCAGCACCAGCTCGATGTAGCAGCCTACTCTGCGCTTGCGCATCTCAGTAAGTTATCACTTTATTTATACGTAATTTGTACTTTGACTTTTTAAAATATCTCTTTATTGTATGTAAATCACGTATTCTTACATAAGCAACGTGAGATTCTGTGATGTTTCGTAATTTTACGTATAAATAATGCGCACGTCAAATTAAAAGCATATACTTCTTTCGACCCCGGTTCGGCATTTATTGGTTTAGATAAAATATATAAATCTTTCTCTATAATCACTCTATCTATTAAAAAAAAACCGCTAAAATTGCGTAGTCTTAAAGATTTATGCATACATATGGACAGACAGCGACAGCGACTTTATTTTATACTATGTAATGAAGATACAAAATGAAACTATTATTGTACCATCCATAAACTATATAAAGAGTTCAAACGCCATAATGTAATAGTATTAGAAGTGATAATAGTGGTTGAAAATATAATATAATTAATATAATAATATAATTAAATAATTAATAAGGATATATTAGAAAAATTCACTTCTTTTTCAAATTCATTCTTCACCATCTCAAGTTAAACAGAACTTATGTTATAGATACTAGACAACTATCTAGATATTTTTTTAACAATATAAATGTTTAGATAAATACATACATATGTTTTTAACAATATCAATGTTTGTACCGTGCGTACCGAACCGGCGCCCATCGGAATAAGGAGAACTGGTAAACCGCTAGAGGCCGTCAAGATATATCTTTAACTTACAACGACTTATAGAAAATAATAGAATAGAAAATCATTTATTCAAATAAACTTACATTGAAGCACTTTTGAATAGTCATCACATTTTTTTTAATCTACCGCTCATTCGGAAAGCTGTCTCATCACAAGAAGAACAAGCACAAGCAACTTGTGTGTTGCTCTTTTAAATAATTTATTCTTACTTACAGTTTAAGTTAAGTGTGTGAATACAAACTACCGATTAGCACTAATTTAATTAAATAATAAAATAGAAAAAACATTCAACACACAACAACTGGTTAAACAATTAATAAGAGGAAATAAGTCATAGTGATTAGAGCAGACCAGTCCCCACAAGCAGCATCCGTTCATGAGATGATAGCAAATTGTATGAACTGTTAACAGGCGCTGCAAATGGTCAACAAAACGCTCAGCTGCAAGCTATGATGACGCATCCGGCTGTGCTTGGACAAGTACAAGGTGGACAGCATCCTGCGCTCAATAGCATAAGTAAGTATATAATATAACCGTCGTTTTGTCTGTACGGAAGTTTATATTTATTTTTACAATAGAATCCACAAATATATAAGTAAAGCTGGACTCTGTAAATGGACTATCCAGCACTATAAGAATTTTTAAAATCGGTTCAGTATGACTTGGATACTACTAATGCGTTGTATTTTCTGAGTGCTGAGATAGGTAAAATAATATAATATTAATTTCATCGTCATAACTTTATAAATGACGATTTTCCATAGAAACTTTCGTCACTTATTTTATTTTACTCCTCAAGGGTAAATTTTTTACAAACTTTGAATGTCATATTTTATTAACAGCCTAAAAAATAAGTTTCAAGCTGTTAGCATTAAAAATGACGATATTTCCATACAAACTTTCATCCCACCTTTCAATGCCTTACAACCATTTTATCGCATTAAAGTAGCCTATACCCTTTCTCGGGATCTAGACTATCTGTGTACTAAATTTCATTTATATCGGTCTAGTAGTTTTGGCATGAAAGTTAGACAGACAGAGTTACTGTCACATTTATAATATTAGCAAAGATAAGATAATATATATTAATAAGGATTATTGTATGTTAGTCTATAAAGAATTTTAAAAATGGGCTATTAGTAGTCTGAAAACAAACAAGAGCAAGACTGTCTGCTAACTGAAAGCACCTATTCGTGCAGGTCTGTACGGGTGGCACATCGCGGAGTCGTTCCCCACGCCGTCGCCGGAGTCCCCGGAGCACTGGTCGAGCCCGTCCCCGCAGACGCCGCTCACGCAGTCCCCACACTCCGACTGGTCGGACCGCGCCGCGCTCTCCCCCAACGACATCCAGCAGACCAACAAGGGGGGCACGGAAGCCATCTATATATAAAATAGTTTGTTATGTTGTATGTACGTTTTGATTGTTATCCAATTTGAGTGTACACCGTGCCGGCTTCGCGCCAATCGAATTGTACAGACTTGTAAATTTTGGCGGTAAACACGTGTTTTGTGATTAGGAGCATCAGGTACAGTAATTGCTAACGATCAGCAATCATTTGTTTCGATTTGAGATAGAAACAAATGAAGATCAACCATTTTGCAATTATGAACAGATCGTGTAACAGCTACGAATATTATAACTTAGAATATAAACAGAAATTCAGACTATTTTATACAAAATCATGCGATTATTATAACTTAGATGAAATGAAACTGAAGTAATTGATACTCAGAATATTTCATACAAAATCGTAAAACTGCAAATGTGTTACAATTGAGGATTATTAGCAGTAACTGTATATAATTACGCTCCAGACAAGGTCAGTGAGGTAGATACGGGGAGAATAGATTTATTAAGGAAATTAGAAGAGTGACAAGAAGAGTTTTGAAGAGAAGAACTAATGCAGCCAGCGTCAATAAAATATTGGACGAACAAAATTAAATAAAGATATACGTAATTATGTACAAGTGTATGAGAATTGAAAAGTAGTACCGAATTTTAATATATTTTGTATTTGTTTCAATATTCTATTGATATTCAATAAAAACAATATCGAAATTTCTATTAAATATAATGCAGACAGTATAAGACGTAATTGGTACTGAATTTCAAAATATTCTAGTTGAACTAGCATTTTTATTACTCAATACAAATTAACTGAAAATTAAAGTCCCATTTTATAGGAGCAAGAAGGTTTTATTAGACTGTAAAAAAATGTTGAATTGTAATTAATAAACTATTCCTTTCACGTTAATGAAATTTAAAAAAAAATGCGCAGTGACGACCCCAAATGCGTAGAAATCTCAAGGTGCTAGAGTGCCGTAGAATAGACTGATTTGTACAGCAATGACACTAGATTAACGTAGTTTAGCGCACTAACAATGCACTAACTCATAATCTTCGCCACATTATAAGACTTTTCGGTGTATTTTTACTTTCTTTTTATCATAACAAAGCAGTTTATTAAACAATCAGGTGATCTTTTAAATTTTTACCTTTTTTGATTTTTTTTTTTAAAAACTTATGCAAAGGCAGTATGTTATTGTTTATTATCAATCGATTTAGTTTGTGACTAGAACAATCTTTAAAAAATACACCGTAACTTTAATAACTATTGACATTTTTATGATACATAAATTGTTGTTGTTAAATGTTTTTTTTTATTTACTTGTTTATATGACTCAGTGTGTTGAATCATTAATTTTAATTGAAATGTTTCGCATATGAGATTGTTTTGCGTAATATCGTGAAGGGAAATTATTTATGTGTGATTCTTTAGCGCCTAATTTTTGTAATGTATACTGTAGAGTATCTAGATTTATTTATTCTGTGCCTCAGGCTGATACAAATTTAGCATATTAAAAATATTCCTAATCAAGAAGCACAAACATCAAATTAGGCTGTATACCGATTGTTTCCTTAGTCTGTCCTTTTCAGATCGATGAACAAAAGTAAAAAAACATCCTTCCGAAGATGGCTCGTGAGTTGAAAGACCTAGAATATAATGCCATGTTTAAATCCATACTGATTTTGTATAAATTATAATTTATTATTAATAAGATTGAGTTTTTTTAAATTTTTTATTAGTTCGTTTTTTTAATAAAACTATTTCTGTTATCAGTCTTAGGCATAGTATTTTTAGATTAAGTAATAAGCTAATTGGATCTGAGATTGATGCTGCTTGGAATCGTAGTCAAACTATTTTGTTTCTTAAATAACTGAATTTATCTTGAATTTTCTATATATGTTCATAAGCACCAATCTCGGTTCTAATAAATAATTAAGACAGAAGTTTTCTTCCGAATGTTCGAACCATTCCAATAATATACTTCCAATGAAACAAGAATGTATCAACTAGGTAGACATTTATATATTCTAAATGGACAATATTGTATACAAACAACGATAGTGAATTTGTAGTTTTTTTTTAATGTACATAGATTATAAAACTGTAACGTTTGTTTATTTTTAATAATAACGACATTCGTACATTGAGATCTCATCATTCCAATATCGCTTTAAAATTGAATGTTTCCAATTAGATATTACTATCTATGTATTGTTGGGACCACAATAAATGCTCAATTTGTTTTCGGAACTCCGCAACTTGTATGATATTATTTTTAGTGTTAACTCTTATAAGTTTATAAAACTTCTGCCGTTTCGTGTGAAATGATTACATCATTGTAAATATTATTTTTAACTTTATTTTTAATAATATTTAAAATTCGAACGCGAATGATCTTCTTAGTTGTATTAGTTGTAATGGAAATTATAATGTATTTTTTTTCGTGTCATCTTGAAGTGCCAAGGAGCCATTTTGAAATCCACTTTTTAATCAGTATCCTTTTGTCGACAGATTAAAAAATTAGTGATAATAATTGTGTATTGCTAGTGGATAGATTAAGTAGGATACTGTAAGTGAAACGTGTGCTTCCTTAATGCATTATCTTTATATAAATACTAAATGAATCTACCTGAAGAGTCAGACAGACTAGGTAAGAAATATTACAATGTCAGTTGAGATATAAAATACATTCCGGTTTCGATAATCATTCGAACAAATTATATCTACTAAAAGGATAGCATGTTTGCAGTGCGCACTTTGTTTTTTTTTAATAAATATGGTATTTTGACAGTAAATTTTGGATAAATTAAAAGTGCTATTATAATTAAAAAAAAAAGAATATAATTTAGTATCGAATGACTCTTAATTCAAATTATAAACAGATCGATTATTATGTGTCTTTAAAATTGTTCAAAAATATTACTATTAGTTGTAAAAAAATTGGAAATTAAAAAATTACAATGGTACTTTTATTTTGACATATAAATAAAATAAATATATATATGTTAGTTTCTGAAATTTTATTTTAAAAGTAATATATTACAATTAACTGCTGCGAAATTTAGGAAAAAATATGTTAATAATGCGTTTAAAAAGGGCACAAAACCGAATGATCTTCAGTGTATGCGTGCCTTTCAGTTAGACTAAGAATAGGCCCGTTTGTAATTTAAACTATTATATTTTAGCATAGAAAAACATTAGTTTTAAATGTCTGTAAATACATTCTATCATTATTTTTATGAAATGCATTTCTTTGTAAGAATCTAAAATTTGAGGAGAATAAAATTTTGAAATATTTTCCCGGTAACTGACAATAAAGGAATAAATATAACGCCGTTGTTTTCTTTGAAACTCAAATTCTTTATTTGTGAAGAACAGGTTACAAAGGTTTTAGAATCGATATCACTCTTCTGCAATTACGCGTACAAATACGATTGAAAACAAAAAATTATAGATGTTATTGTAGAATTAGGTACATAAATAACTTATCTTTGTCATTCAGAAATTCATTTATGCTATAATAATACTTTATTAATAAATATTTTTCCAAAATAAATTTAAACTATCAATGTCATCAGTATTAAAAACATAACATAACATAGCTGTATACGTGTATAACTTTGCCTTATTGTTGAGATGAAAAAAATAAATATTGTGAGTAACAATTTTTCATCCTACCCACGAGTGGACAATCGTTATTCGTAGTCAACCGACAAATTATAGTTTCATTAACCGTTACGGATATGTCTAAAAGACAATAAGTTAGTGTAGATAATGAAATATAATTTAAAATATAATTATTTGGTATTTCTATGCTAATAAATTGTGAGTGCTAATAGCTATAAGTGTGAAATTCTGCAACTTCTGTGCAAAAACATAACTAGTGAGTATATTACAAAATAATGTTTTGTACATACGTACATTATAGTAAAACAACAGACGAAACTGAATTAAACCTAAACTACGATTCTATTACAGAAATAAAGTATATTTTATAATAATTAGTAGGAGTAGTCTTAAATTATAGGTTTATAGGCATGACATTTTAGTTGTTTAAAATGGAAACGCACTAGTGGTTTCAAATGACCATTGCTATTCACGTACATAGGCAACGGTTACCTCTTACCATCAGATGGGCTTTCCAACTGTTTACCATTCCATAAAATTGCCGCAAAAAAGTGAACCGTCTGAAGATTTAAAAACAGTAATTTTACTATAGCAAACTTACTTGTGTCGAGTTCATTACTTTAATTTAGATATTTATTTTATTAGAACTAACTTGTAGTTGTAAAGGATTGTTTTATGATTTATTTATGTTTTATTTACCTACATATTATATTTGTATATTTAGATAAATAACATGAAAAACATATTGTAGCAAATTAATATACTTAATTTAGTTGAATCATTACTTTATAGGACTAACCTGCAGTTATAGATAAGATAAGATAATTTATTTATTTACTTTAACATTTACAGGGTTAAGTACAAATGTTCGCCTCATATTCAGGGGGCATGCAAATTATAATAACCCTTACTTTTGGAATTAAATTACATTATAAATAAGAATATTAAATGTCAGGTCTCAGAATATTAAATCAATCTCGCAAAGAGTAACAGCATTTTTTAACAAGTCATTGGTGTTATTCTTTTTTAAATCTATTTAACGGCATCTCTCTATAAAAGACGGTTCTTTGATTTTATTTGTGATTTTTCTACCTATACAAATGTCATTATTTATATAGAATAAATGACATGAAAAACACTTGTTCAGTGCCATTGCCTGCTATTTGCTTTCACTGTCATAGCGTTACGTTGGTGGAAGAGATCTCACATTTTTATAACAACGTTGTTTCATTATACTTGTGGGGCGACTACAGTAAAGTATAAATATAACATAGAAATTCGACTATAATTAGTTATATTTATATTATTATTTAATTATAAGTTTGACAATGTTCTATTATCAAAGACTATACTTCAATAAAAAAACATTAGACATGGTAGGCTACCATGTATTTGACACACTCGCATAAATAGAGTATATATATGCGTATGTTTGTTTAATTATTATTGTTGGTTCAAAAATTTTTTTGTAATTTCTATTATATATTTTGATAACCATTTTTTTCGGACTTTTTTTAAGAACAACAAAATACAAGTAGATACTGAATAAAATATTCTGGTGCGATCTGAAGGATTCATAAATTCAAACGAAGTCGAACGTGTGTTTCTAGGGTGCGATTGGACAGTGAAATTACAGGGTAAGAGACATCTTAGTCCTATGAAATAACATAAGTGGTATCACGGGTGTAACATGATAAAGTTTTTTTTTCGGACTTATCTAATGCTGTTGGCCGCAGCTGGCCTTTACAGCTTTACCGGACGATAGGGGGCGAGTGCAGATGGCACTCCAAACCAAAGGAAGAACTTATGGAGCGGCTACTCTCGCCTGTCGGATACAAGTTCGACAAATGGCGACCACTAGTTTATATATTAAATAAATGTTTCACATTTTTCTTGTGGTTTCAAGGGATATTCTTCCAGGATTTAAGACCTTTATACCACATAGTCTAACTGCATCTAATACAAAGAACTCAGTACAGTGAACATACTTCAACCGCGTGGCGACATTGACACAACATGGTGCGTGGAGGCGGCCGCTATGCTCATCATCATCATCACCACCGTAGCTGGGAACACGGCGGTGATGAATGCGTTGAGGCGGCTACAACGCGCCCCCGCTCACTACCCGCTCGCTAGCTTGGCTACAGCGGATCTGCTTGTCGGAGTGTTTGTACTGCCCATAGCTGCAGCTCGAGAGCTTTTCGTGTTTCAGTTGAGTGAGTATTTTTTTTTATAATTTACTAACTGACCCCGCAGACGTTGTTTTGCCATTTAATTTAAAATCGCTATTAAAAATAGGGGTTGGTGATAGAAGGGTGATAATTTAGGGTTGTATGTATTTTTTAATACCATATTATCTATATATATAAATAAAATTGGAGTGTGTGCTTGTAATATTGAAATAACCGTTTTTACTACATGCATATGAATATAAATACGGTACGTACACCAAAATAACATATTCTTACAATTTTTTTCTGTTTGTCTGTCTGTTTGTTCTGGCTAATCTCTGAAATGGTTGGACCGATTTTGACGGGACTTTTATTGGCAGGTAGCTGATGTAATAAGGAGTAACTTAGGCTACTTTTATTTTAGAAAAAATATCTAATTAACTTTTTTGTTAAATTCCACGTGGACAAAGTCGCGAGTACAGCTAGTAAAAAATATAATGTTAGGGATGGACAACAACCTTATCACTTAGGGGTATGAAAAATAGATAGTAGCCGATACTCAAACCAGTAGGTTTCAGTAGAATAAGCATATAAAATTACATAAAAATATAGTATTAAAAAACCCCATATCATTTGGGGTCGTAGTAAAATTTCTCTTTTATTCATCTCTGTTCGCAGTCTTCTTATTTCCACTCCCATCATATTAAAATGGTGCCTTGACTGATTATCTCTCAGCTTCATTCACAGACTGGGCGATATGTTCTTGCTGGAGCACACTAGATGTGCTATGCTGTACGGCGTCCATCCTCTCACTCTGCACTCTCGGCTGGGAGCGCTGGTGCTGCATCACCGCGCCGCTTGCCAGGGCAAAACGTCACAGACGAGCGAAGCTTCTCGCTGTACTGGTGTGGCCGGTCTCCACTGCTGTGGCACTGCCCACAGCCTTTATACCATCAGCGAAGAATTACCACGAGGGAGAGATGCCAAAGGCCTGCACAGTTAATACAAATGTTGGGTTAGCATTATGCAATATTTAATTATAATAACACTGGACAATTCACATAACGCCATTTTTTTTATTAATTTATTGCTTATGCAAAGAAGCGTGGGAAGGCCTCCAAAAAGGTGGACCGACGGTCTGGTCAAGATCGTTGAAAAGCATTGGTTGCAGCGCAGGAACGATCGTCGTGGAGAATTTTAGTGGAGATCTTTCTTCAGCAGTGGACGTCGCCTGGCTAAAATAATTTACGTTCTATTCTCAGATCTATTGAATATACACACAATTTCATAAGAATCGATTGAGCCGATTTTTTCGGACTACTCTAATGATGTTGGCCGCAGCTGGTCTTGACAGCTTTACGGGACGATAGGGGGCGAGTGCAGATGGCACTTTAAACTTGCGGAAGAACTTTTGGAGTGGCTGAATGCCAACTCCCACCTGATGGATACAACAACGCCATCTAGTCTCAAACTAAGAAAAGCTTTTGTTATGGGTAGTAGACAATTTATATAAATACATAGTTACTTTTTTTATTTCATTCAATAGACATTAATCCTTATGAATAGAAATGTGTGTACCGTACAAGGACAGACTTCGTGACCATTGGAAGTACGGTGGTGTGAGACCCCATAGTATAAGGGCGTAAATATATTTAATAAATTAATAATAGTATAATATTATCATAATCAATAATAATTTCTTGTAGCTCTGCAATTTCTATCCAATACTGGAAGAATTATCAAAATACGCATATAATTAGCGAATATCTATAGATATAAATAAAATTGGAGTGTCCGTTTGTAATACTGAAATAACCGTTTTTTACTACATGCATATGAATATAAATACGGTACATACACCAAAACAACATTTTTTACAATTTTTGTCTGTCTATCTGTTTGTTCCGGCTAATCTATGAAATGGCTGGACCGATTTTGACGGGACTTTTATTGGCAGGTAGCTGATGTAATAAGGAGTAACTTAGGCTACTTTTATTTTAGAAAAATAAAGTTAATTTCCACGCGGACGAAGTCGCGGGAACAGCTCACATATAACAGTAAAAACTTGAAAACGTCTTTTTAAAAGCAGATTAATATATAAATGACCCTACTGGCCTAGTGGTCTAGCTTGTATCTAGATTTGTTCAATCTGGGTGTTTTCTATGTATAAATATGAATGAATTTACAAAGAAATATCTATGTATTTGTATCAGTTGTCTAGTACCCATAACATAAGATCTAGTTAGCTTGGGATTAGATGGCGCGGTGTGAATTGTCCTGGGATATTAATGTGATTATTCCACAGGTATGTGTTCTTCAGTGTTTCCTTCTCGTTTTACGTGCCTGCTAGCGTCATGGTTGGATTCTACGTGTGCATCCTTCGCTTATTATCGTTACCACTACCCATACGAGCACATCGTGGTCAGGGGGAACATGGAAATGTAAGTTATTCCTAAAATATATAATACTATCTGCCCGCGTATAAATATATATATATATATATTGTAACATAATAATAATATATACATTATATACATACATAATTCTAGGCTAATAACAGTGAGAAAATTTAATATATGTATATAGCTACGATACCACTACTACCAACCATAAATAAATATCAATCACTAGTACCTACGCACTGAATATAAAATAACAAAATAATGTAATACCATCCTCAAGTCCGATTATAAATTTATTGTTATCATTTTTTTTATTTACAGAAAATTGCAACCAATCGCAATGAAGTAACGGAACACGTTAAGTCATCCCAAAATAATAACAATATTACTCGGAGAACAGAAGGGTAAGAATAGAATAGAATAGAAAATAAATAATTCAAATAAACAACAAATTTAAGCACGTTTGAATAGTCATAATATTTAAAAAAAAATAGTAGTGTCTCATCACAAAAAGAACGAGCAAGAAACTTGTGTGTTGCTCTTTTAAATAATCCTTGTAAGTTCACATTTACAAGTCGAAACATATGGACACAAACTACCAACCAGCACTAATTTATTAGGGACAAATATAAATACACAATAAGATTAAATCAGTCGTAGTGATAAGAGCAGACCAGTCCCTACAAACTGCACTCGTTCACAAGTATGACGGATGAGCCAGCCATCACTGCGCTCGACCATATTTTAGAGAGCCCAATGACCCTAGGTAAGTATGAGTACATCGAAAATCTAAACTGGAAATTTGGCGGAGACACGATACATAAGCCTACCGTTGCATGTATTAATTCTACGTGTATACATACATCTAATGCATTTTACTCTGTTTTCTAGACCTGTATCTCCTAAAGGCTGTCAATTGAATGTACCAGTGGAACCTTCAGCTGCAAACAGTTCACATTTGCCAAAACTAGTTGTTTCACTGTAAGTATCTATTGAATTTTGTAGCATTATTATACATATATACATATCTACTATATTCTTATCCTATATCCACATCGTATTTATTTTACTTATTTATAATATAAATATACTAAGTTTAGAAACTGTCATGATATCTGCTATCTTTGTTCACACTATAATCTTAGGTGCAACATTCTATATACATCATCATTACATATTATAAAACAAAGTCGCTGTCGCTGTCTGTTCCTATGTATGCTCAAAACTTTAAAACTACGCAACGGATTTTGAAGCGGTTTTTTTTAATAGTTAAAGTGATTCAAGAGGAAGGTTGTATTTATGATACATATACCCCTATGCCTGGATGTATATATACATATACACCCGGGCGGAGCCGGGCCAGTAGCTGGTTAAAAATATAAAAAAATCGTTTCATCACAATGTTTGATTTTGTTCTAGAGGGGGCTTGATACCGAGGCAACGTCGCGCTACACGTACTATAATTATGCTTATGTCTCTGTTCCTATTCTGCTGGACGCCATTCTTCATTATGCTGCCTGTGGGTAAGAAATTCTGTTATATACTTTGACGGCCTCGGTGGTCTAGCACACCGCTTTAACTCCGATGGTCGCAGGTTCAAAATAAATCCTTAAAGCAGGTTGTTACGAGTAAAACCCCCTAAGTCCATATAACTACCTACCTGTAGTTACACAATCGGCATGGATACAGCGATTGTTCTTGGAAAGTATGTCCCAATAATTTCCAACAGTTGCTGACTCAAATCAGCGGCATCCAAGAAGTACGAGAACAAAGGAAGGCAGGTGGACGGTCACTCTAGTTTTAGTCGCGAACGCGAATAGGTTAATTTAGTATAAGACGAATCAATCGCGATTCCTAAATTGTAAGTTAGAATTAAATAATTTATTAAATGAACTTTCTTTGCTTTTAAAAAACCCACCACCGACCGTCAGAACGTAATTAGGTTCAAACAAAATCATGAGTATGATTGTTTGTATCGGTCTGGGTGTTTTCTATGTATAATATGTATTTATATACGGAAAATGTATTTGTATAATTTATCTAGTACCCACAATATAAGCTTTAGCTAGTTTAACTTGGGTCTAGGTGGCGTTGTGAATTGTCTTGAGATTATTATTATTATTAAATATAACTCCTGGCACAGGCATCTTTATGAAAAGGAGTTTCAACAACTTATAATGTATTTTAAATATAAATAAAAATTTTGAATTTTGAATTTTTTTGAATAAAACAACACATCATATATAGATACCGGGAACAAATAAATATATTAACGTATTGCTGTTCTTTGTTTAAGATTCTCTCTGTGAGTGTGTGTGCGATGCAACATGGCTGTGGTGCACATGGCTCGGCTACGCTAACTCAGCATTCAATCCGCTAGTGTATGCTGCAGCGTCGCCTAGTGTGCGGCGAGCCTTACAAGCTTCCCTTACTACATCCAGTTCAGCGAGGACCACCGTCGCACCACTATCGCCTAGCGTACGACGGCCCTAAATTGTAAGCTTTTATTATGTACTAGCTGTTCTCGCGACTTCGTCCCAGTGGATTTATCTTTATTTTTCTAAAATAAAAGTAGCCTAAATTACTCCTTATTACATCAGCTATCTGCCAAAATAAGTCTCGTCAAAATCGGTCCAGCCATTTCAGAGATTAGCCGGAACAAACAGACAGACAAAATTTGTAAAAATATGTTATTTTAGTGTATACGGTACATACATATATGCATGTATTGAAAAACGGTTAATTCAATATTACAAACAGACACTAATTTTATTTATATGTATATCCATTCTATAATAAGTGAGGTGGCCTCGGTGTTGTATTGGTTTATTACAACCCCTTATTTCCGATGATCGCATCCTGTTCGCGCCATTTATAAACATATCAAGTGGTATGGTATTATTCCCCATATCCTAATCCCTTTCCCGCGCACAGCATATCAACTGAGGTCGCCCGACGACCTCGTCTACTAACGTGAATGGTGACATCTCGTCCCAACCGCTCCGCTTTAAATTAATTAATATAATATTGACATTAACAATAAGTAACTTTGTGTGCGTGCCTGTGTTAAACTTAGTATTCATCGAGTGCAGCAGCTGTGCACAAAACGTACTGTGTTTATTTCATGTCCAAAAATAAAATATTTCATTTTTATAAATAAAACAAAACACTGGTTCACAAAAATAAATATTTATTTACAACGTAACTCACATAATCTTGTGTACACATCTTTGGCATAGAATCTACCCATTCGCTTAATGTTTGCACAAATAGATAAAAAATTGCACTTCAAAAATACTGCGTCTAATTTATCGGAAGAAACACGGGAATAAATATTATATTTATTTATTAAAAATTTACAGTAATCAACAACTTATTTACAACTTACAATAAAATTTGGAACTACAAACGAGTTAACAACCTATTAATTACTTTGTGCTTTAATTAAATATCTTTACACTGTTCATAATTCACTATTAACGATTAACAATTTTATTGCTATCGACTATAAATATTCTCATGTATAAATACCATTATTATATAAGTGATGCACTGCTGTTCTTATTGCTTTATTTAAATAATTGACTATACATTCGGGAATTTCGTACAATGCCATCGAAATCATATTATTTTATATTGATTCTATGATTCAGAATCGTTCATAAAGTTTGGAGTTTTATGTTAGTCACTCGGTAACTTATTTAAATGATTTTCTATAAAATATAATGTTTCGTATTATTTCTGGATAATAAGAAACTTTTAGTCGCCCACATGTAGCGCAATGTACGTGCATACCTATTAGTAGACTATAAAAAAATATTTGTTATTTCGATGATGGTTCTCATATTGGATATTTGTTTATTTTAAATGACTATATACTAAAATGAGCAATAGAAATATTATGCATAATAAATGTTACAAAGGGAGTAAATAATTTTATACATATAATCAACAATATTATAACGGTGCTTGGTAAAATCTATGAGATTTGTTTACCTTATTCAATACAAACACACTATCCTATTTATTATGACTAAATTATGAAAACTCTTGAACTATTTCTCAATCAACAATTAGCGGTAACCACTGATTTAAATGTTCTTGTAATTTTACGGCTTCGGAAGCTGTATACTTTCGTAGTTGTTAAATATTTCGAGTCGATACATCCGCGTGCAGATAAAATCTGTAATTATCAACAAAACAACTAACGCCTCATTTCGTAATTAGTATGGCGGTCATTGCCGCAAGATGGCGGCGATCGACAAGATGGCGGCGGCGAGCAATGTTGGACGGGGCAGCGTGCTAGCGCCGCCAAAATCACTCGCGTCCGGAGTACACGTCTTGCAAGTGCATCGCCCGGACAGACAGTAGCCTGGCTCATCTTCTTCTGAGACGCATTCCTGAAATAAAATAATAATTTATGTAACTTAAATCGTAATATTAGAATGTAATATATAGTTTTTAAGACTGCATTAGTTTGTAATAGTCATAATTTGTTGTTGTTTTGTAAGTAATATTAAAATTTAAGACTTGGAAGAAAAATAAATATTATGTATAAAATATTTTGAAGTACTAACATGAAACGTAATCGACGTTTCGTCATCCAATCCGCAGTACGTTAATTGATTCAACTACCTTAAAATACATTCTACCTATTGGGAAAATTGGAATTCCAGGTACATTTTAAAATAATAATAATAATAATCTTAGGACAATTCACACAGTGCCATCTAGACTCAAGTTAAGCTAGCTAAAGCTTGTGTTATGGATACTAGATAACTGATACAAATACATAGATATTATTTTTTTGTAAATACATGCATATTATACATAGAAAACACCCAGACCGATACAAACAATCATACTCATGAATACAAATGTTTGTGCCGTGGAGGAATCGAACCCGCGACCATCGGTCGTAAAGCGGTTTACTAGACCGCTGGACCACCGAGGTCGTCAAATATTAAATATTTCTAATTACATTTTTTCTCATCTTATATTTACTTGAAAGCCGAAGTCAGGTTGAAAAGGGTCAAGCCTGTCTATAGTCTAATATAAGGAGGACCACATCACTGAATGTGTGTAAACTTAAAGTGACAGATAAAGTAAACATATCAAGCAAATCTGCTAAGAGTTAACAAGAGCCTTTACAAGACATGTTCTTTCAGGCGCGATGTAGCGCGGAAAGCCAGTGGGCGTGTAATCGTCAGCGATTGCATTTAAGTATTTTTAGTGATCACTGTTTCGCACGTAATTGCGAATAAATTCCATGTCCCTTTTCTTTTAAATAGTTTATGTCGCAGATTTTTTCTCCACGACACTATAATTATGTAGAAATAGAAATAGAAATAGAAATAATCTTTATTCAAATAAACTCATTACAAGCACTTTTGAATAGTCATATTTTGATTCTACCAATTCGGAATGCAGATTCATCACAACAAGAATGAGCAACAAACTTGTGTTGCTCTTTTTAATAGATGTTTTTTTTTATTTAAATAATTACAGTATAACAAGTAAGATCGATAATCAACATGTTTGCGCACTCATTATTAATGTAATCAGATAATATTGTCAATAAAGTTTTTCTATAAAAACATTATTATCGTTAACGAATTCTTCAATTTTATAGTAAGCTTTTTTGTATAGGAACTGATTTATTTCACATTTAAATATTATTTCTGGCAGATTTATAACAGATTTTTTATTGTCCACGACACTATAATTAAATTTTAGGTGAAAGGCCAACTTTGTTTTGATCTATAGTCAGATGTCCTCCATTTTGGAATTGCACACACGATTGAATAAGGCGACAATGCACAAACGCGTCTTTCTCGTTCTATTTGTCTACATTTAGATACACATTCTTTTCTGCGTGAAAAGACCGTAAGTGTATATATGCAGCTAATCATCTCATAGCAGATAGATAAGGAAAAGGGGAGAAAATCCTTGTCAGGTAGTTATACTCTTGGCTCTTCAGCATAATGTGTAAGCTAATGGACAGATTACGTATCACACAAGCAAGGAAGGGTTCTGATGACGTTGTGAATATAGCAAAAGGGTATAGCGTACCTCGTCCCGCTTGCAGTCCTGACCAGGGCGGCGGCGCGGCCAACATCGCGGCGGGGAACCAGCCGCGTGCGCGCTGTATGCACAAGAGCATGTACCACCCAAACATAGAGCCAGGCTTGTCGACGGCAAATCTTCCGCGCCCACCAGCCCCGCGCACTGCACGTCGTACTCACACGGGTCGTTCAGAGATTTCACCGCTGTTCCAACAAACACTTATATAAAACCACTGACCAAAATAAAAATAATTTGCGTGAATTCTAAGATTATTAAGAATAGAATAGAATAGAAAATCATTTATTCAATAAACTTAATTTAAGCACTTTTGAATAGTCAACATTTTTTTTTAAATCTACCGCTTATTCGGAAAGCTGTCTCATCACAAGAGTAAGTAACAAACTTGTGTGTTGCTCTTTTAAACAATCCTTGTAAGTTCACATTTTACAAGTCGAAACATGTGAATACAAACTACCAACCAGCACTAATTTTTTGGGTGAAATATAAATATACAATAAGATTAAATCAGTCGTAGTGATAAGAGCAGACCAGTCCCTACAAGCAGCACTCGTTCACGAGTATGACGGATGAGCCAGCTATCACTGTGCTCGACCATATTGTAGGGAGTCCAATGACCCGGCCAACCACGCCGCCACATGTCTGGACATTTTAGTGAGCATGATATTCCACTCGACCACATCACAGTTACTTAAGATTACTATATGGTAGTTACAGTATTCGCACTTTACATGAGGATGCATGCGGAAATCAATACAAAAGCCGCTACGCTATCATATATCAAGCAGACTCTTAGACAATGAATAAAATAAATCTTAGACAATTCACACAGCGACATCCAGTCCCTAGTTAAGCAGAGCTCGTGTTTTAGGTATAAGACTCTTTCTTCTTATTCCTTGCACTATTCCACTCTATACGAGTGATATAAATACTTAGATTTTTTGTAAAAACATACATAATGAAGGTACATAGAAAACACTTAGACCAATAAATAAAATCATTCAAATTCTTGAGTAAGAATACAAATGTTTGCATTGCGACGAATCGATCCAGCGATCCTTCAAAGTGGTGTACTAACCGATAGACCACCGAGGACTTCATAATAAAACACATGATACCTGGTTTTTCTAAGCTAAGATGGCGGTAGTCTGGCATGTTGGATTTGAATATAAATAACGAAATCAAGTCAAGTGTTATATTCACGTACTCAACAGAACTATGCCTCTTATCAGAGATGACGGTCGGCAAAGTTTATGATAATAGTTCTAATAGGTAGTTCTCACCTTCGACGCAGGAGTTGGTGTGGTTGTTGGCAACCCAGCGGTCTCGGCAGCGGCAAGTGCCGCGGCACTCGAGTCCTGCGCCAGCGCACTGTAACTCATCTTCACAAACCTCCCCAAGTGTCGCGTCGCGGACGCACCTGATCACATTTATTTAAAAATTATCGCTATCTAAATATTAAGCCTAAGTTAAAAAATAGCGGGACATACGTGGAAAAGAGTAGCACAGAATCGCATTCAATGGCGAACTCTAGGGGAGGCCTATGCTGGATAGCAAGACAACTTTCAACTACCGGTGTCAAGTAATTAAATTAGATTAAGATAAATATATGAAATATATAAATATTAAGCCAATATCATTTTTAAGTAGCCCCATATTCAAGGGAACATGGCTTCTTAAAAATGATTTACCATAGTCCTCCGAAACGGCTTGAACGATTTTTATGAAATTTTATACGCATATTCAGTAGGTCTGAGAATCAGCTACTATCTATTTTTCATACTCCTAAGTGATAAGGGTAGGTCCATCCCTATAATTTTTTTAATTTATTTATAATATGATTTTAAAAAATACATACAACTCAACAAGTTTTCACCCTTCTATTTTTAAATAGCGATTTTAATTTATATGGCAAAACAACATACATTAATTTGTGAAGCAAAAACTTCGTACCCTTTTACGAAAATTGCGCAAACGAATGAGTATGAAATTTCGCACACTTATAGTTAATGAAGTGAAGAATGTATTAAAAAAATAAAATTGAGACATTAATTCTTTTTTTACGAACCTGGTACCGTTATCTCGAGGGCTGTATTGTAACTGACAGGTGCAGTATCCACGGACGCAGAATGCCTGCCGGTCAGGACCCGTCTCGCCCAGGTAGCAGTTCATATCCACGAGACAACGCTCACCGACCACTGTGGACAAATATTTTATTTTTAACAAATAACAAGACGCAGTAAAGATTTTTGATACTTCTTTTAATGAATGAAAATGGAGTGGTGCACACATCTGCGCTAACAGTATACGCTGGCGGGACACTAGTGGAGGATGATAGATGATAGAAGAGAATAAAAAAAATTAAATAGGCAATGGTTATTTTAATATGACCTTCGATTTGAAGACGATATCGTTGTCTTGGATGAGACCCTGGAAGACCTTAGCAAAATGCTCGAAGACCTCAGTAGAGTCTCACAAGGAGTAGGTCTTAAGATGAATATGGACAAGATGTGTCAAACGCCCATATCGGACCTGCTCCCGTAAAAATCGGAGATTTTACACTCGAAATTGTCGATCACTATCCAGCTAGGTAGATCCAATTTCGAGAAAGAGGTCAATCGTCGAATTCAACTCGGATGGGCAGCGTTCGGGAAGCTCCGATATATCTTTTCGTCCAAATTTCCGCAGTGTCTCAAGACGAAGGTTTACGACCAATGTGTGTTGCCAGTGATGACTTACGGCACAGAGACGTGGTCGCGAACTGTAGGCCCCATGAACAAGCTCAGAATCACTCAGAGGGCAATGGAGAAGGCTATGCTCAGAGTTACTCTGTGTGATCGAATCAGAAATGAGGAGATCCGCAGAAGAACCAGAGTGACCGACACAGCCTGAAGAATTGCGACTCTGAAGTGGCAGTGGGCAGGGCACATAGCTCGTAGGACAGATAGCCGTTGAAGCAGTAAAGTCCTCGAGTAGCGACCACTGACCGGAAGACGCAGCGTGGGAAGGCCTCCAGCAAGGTGGACCGACGATCTGGTCAAGATCGCTGGAAGGCATTGGATCGTTGGAGATCTTTGGGGGAGGCCTATGTCCAGCAGTGGTCGTCTTCCGGACTGCGATGATGATAATGATGATGATTTTAATATGATGTCTAAATCATCCATCGCACGCGCTCATTACTCAAATCAAAATCAAAACTTTATATAGTTAACACAATTTTTACAAAATTCTATACAGTTATTGAAGCCTAAATTAGGCATAAAAATACCTGTACCAGGAGGCTCCTGCACTCTTCCATAGCTTATATAGTAAGTTTTGAGAATATTTATAATTCATTATAATACCCTTTTTTTTCTTTATTTATATAATTCAATTTTAAATGCAATATATAGACGTTGACTGAGAGTATGCGCAAATAGCTCGCGATTTCCTACTATGTTACCACTTTCCATCCCATTTATGAGATCATTCTCACAGATTACTAGAAGAATACTTACCAGCCGTTTCGTAACATCGTTCTCCTTCTAGATGCGCAGTCGGCATACATGCACAAGTGCCAGTTGGTGAACACTGCGCGTGGACACCCATCGTCGAATGGCACTGGATGTGCTGAGCACACGCCTCGCCGAAGTGTCCCTCTGAAGGAAACCAATTCGTATATATTATTATGTTACTAACAACCCACCTTGGCAGATGTGTAAGTACAGTATAAGTGAAGGGGGGGAATGGGGATTGTTAGTAATGTGGACTGATCATCTTATTGCTAGCAATGTACCATGTCAGGTTGACCTCCACGTGGTTCCCCCTGGAAACCATCGTGATAAATTCTTGGTGAATTTGTCACGATGGGCTAACTGACCTGACTTCATGCTCATCTTATCATCCTCCACTGGTGCCCCGCCAGCGTAAACCGTTAGCGTAGGTGGGTGCACCATTCCATTATCATCCATAAAAAAAAAAAAGTATAAGTGAAGGATTGTATCTACACTAAAACTTTTTGTATTTAATAAATTATTGAAGAATTTATTTTCCTAATAAATTCATCGTGATAAATAGGTTATATTTTATAAGTTATATCTACATGTCTATTGAGTACGTACCTTTCAAGCAGCCCTTGTGGGTACCATTAACCGCCGCGTACACGAAGCCATCCTTACAAACACAGTAGCTAGCCTGTCTGCAGAATGCGTTGTCTGGACAATCCATATCCACGCTGCAAACGTTCCCGGTCCGCCCTGGAACGGTAATTAAAAATAAATACTATTAATTAATTTACACATTTAGTATTAAGAGTACCATCTATCTCTTTTAGTCAAGTCTGTTTTAGTTAAGAGTAAGTGAGAGCACAAATAAAATAATATTACATACAGATATGTACCCCATCAATGTTTCCTTCCTCGGATCGGATCCAAGCAAGAACTCCTTGTATAAGATAGATTCCTTCTGGAAAGTCTCTCGAATCAATCTTATTGCTGACAGCTTGTCCAGTATTCATTTTATAAATTTTGTATTATTTTAATCTATATGTCGGAGCAGATGCAGTAGCATAGGTTTCGGATATAGTTATGTCAGCTACTCTGACGTCACTTGCGTGATCAATATCTCAATTGTTTAACTCGTAGGTTATTATAATTAAACAAAATGACACAAATTTAATGTAAGCACGTTTGAATAATTACTGTATTCGTGATTCTACCACTCATTTGGAACGCAGATTCATCACAAGAAGAATGACCAAGAAACTTGTGTTGCTCATTTAATTAACTATTATTATTATTTCTAAGTAGACATGACTTTATACGTGGCTCCACGGTAACTCAGTCACTCCGTAACTAGATAACTCGATAACTTCGGAACTCAGTGACTGACTACCTCAACCGTGGTCGAGTACAAGCAGACTGCATATCCCCTCATAGAGGGCGCTAGTGTGCCAACCAATCAGAGTAAATGCTCATGTACTCGCTCACAGTTTAACAATACACACAGAATTAAGCACAAACTGAGGTTGTTATAATTCTCTAAAATACTATTAAGAATGAGAGTTATTAAATTGCATGTTTTTGTTACTATAATTAGCATTTACCATGTTTATGTATGTTAACAATGTCGTCAGTCAATTGACTGCCCTAATTTCTGTAATAAATTATGGCAGACAATTGAGTGCCTTAATTTCTGTTTATAAAATCAGTAAATTATTCGAGTAATAGAAACTATACAGTGTTAATTATGCGGCTTTGATTCACTCTTACTCGACATTTGAAACTGTGGTTTAACAGAACTTTAAAACAATCCTAGCACTGGTAAATATTACATCGTGTTATCAAGTTATCAGTTAAGTGCCTTATTATTTGATCTAAAATTATCAATTCAAATTAATCATAATAGTTTCTATAAATATTAATTCTACAATTACATTTCACAGTAATAGCAAACATTATGATTATAATTAAAACTCTTATTTTCTAAGATTTTGTGACAGTACAATTCCCGAATCATGCAAGCGCCGATATATATTTTATATATTTAAGGAGTAATTATTAGAATGTTTAGAACCGAGCATTAGTCCTGCATTATACTACGGTTTTTACTACCTTCTCAGTGTCCTCATATATCTAGGACATCACTAATGCAGCATAATATTAAATAATCTTCGAAAAGATCCGAAATAGAAAGTGACATCAGTTCAATTGTATATAAAAAAAAACTAGAGACCATAGACAAGATAATTACCGAATAATGTTCATAGATAATGTCGAACAATGGTACCACTTGAAGATATAGCGTTAATGAATGCGCAGGCATCGTGTTTTGTTAGACGTCACGCTAATAATGTAAGTGGCGTGAAATTCAGAACAATGGCGCAATCATTTTAATTATATCTAGTTTAAATATGTGTTTAAATTACAAAGTATTGTATCTAAGTATCGTATATCTTTGTATCACAGTAGCAGTGTGGCCGAGTAATTTGACGACTGCAAAATTGTAAATTGTAAAAGAAAAAAAAGAAATAAAAAAAAACATTGTGGTAAGAGTCCGATGACGCTATTTTTGCCACTGTTTCGCCAATTAATGATACTCACTGTCCCTAAAATGTATATACTTGAATACTGCCTTTTTTTAAAATATGCATTCATATATATCTTTATGACTACGATAAAGTTTCTGTGAGAGATCCTGGAAAACAGTTATACCTGCTGCATATCTATACTGGTCATCTATCATATATAAATAAAATTGGAGTGTCTGTTTGTAATATTGAAATAACCGTTTTTTACTACATGCATATGAATATAAATACGGTATATACACCAAAATAACATTTTTTACAATTTTTGTCTGTCTGTCAGTCTGTCAGTTTGTTCCGGTTAATCTCTAAAATGGCTGGACCGATTTTGACGGAACTTTTATTGGCAAGTAGCTGATGTAATAAGGCTACTACTTTCTACTACTTTTATTTTAGAAAAATAAAGTCAAACTAACTTTTTTGTTAAATGTTTGTAAAATATAATGTTTTGCATTAACAAAATTAGTAATTTGAACAGATATAGGTATTAAACATTTTGTTTCGGTCAGATTACAGATCAACAATTTTTCTTTGCACCACTCATGGTTGACTGGTAAATAACGCCGCAAGGTGTTAATTTCGCCGTATGTACACATTATTTTTGAGCATTAAAGTTAAGTAAATAAATAAAATAATAATTAATGTATATCTTTGATTCGCTCTGTGGATTCTGTGTGATAACCTTCTGTGCTCTGGGATCTGTAGTATTGTCAGCACTATAATAAAGGCCAAAATGAGAGACTTAATGCGAAAAACGGAGTCGAATACACATTGTATGTTTGTTTAATTTTTAGATATACGTGTATACTAATAATAAAGTACACAAGTTTTTCTTAAATAAAGTACGCATCAAATAGATAACCCTGAACAGTTCACACAGTGCCATCCAGTCTAAGCTAAGCAGAGCTCGTGTATATGTGTACTATGTGTACTAAACGACTGATACTTAAATACATTCGTTTTTGTACACACGTACATAATATACATAAAAAACACTCAAACGAATATAAAGGTTTGCATCGTGCGAGGAATCGAACCAGCGACCATCGGAAGTAAAGCGGTGTGTCAACTACTAGACCATAGGCCGCAAATTATGCTAAGCTATTGATAGTAACAAATGGCAGGTTTTTATACGCGTAATCGTTATACAAGCGGACTACTTGTTTGATGAATTATTACATGATTTAAGTACATACAGATCGTGGTAGTCACTCAAGGTTAACATTCAAGGCTTTATTTAGATGGTCCGTTGTATAATCGCAGTAAACATATGTTATATCGAGCGATTTGATAGTGACGCCACAGAATATAATAATAGTACCCCCCACAGAATATAATGACGTTTATTTTTTATTAAGTATTTTACGGCTCTGGAATTTACCTTTCGGCCAAACAATTACATTATACAAATGCAAGTCAGTTATTAATTATGAATTACTAGAGCGTCCTTATAGTATTGAGGATGAAGTTATATAAAAAAGGATAAGACTGTGTTTTGTAGGATAAATGGCACGTACAGTTAGGGTTATCAGCTTTACGAAAAAAATGGAAATTCCCTTTTTCCTGTACCATTGGACACAAATATGTCTAAAGACCATGCAGTAAAAAGAAATAAATATTACAAACCAATAAGCACATTTAACGAAAAGTGTCTATGGTGTGGTTAATTTATATATTATATATTATATATATATAGCCTACATGTTATTCTGATGCATAAGCTATGTTACTGTAAAGTTTCTTTAAAACTCGTTCAGTAGTTTTTGCGTGAAAGAGTAACAAATATCATCTGCGTTTATAATATTATTATATTATATATTTATAATATTATTATGATATATTAAAAGATCCGCTAGCACCGCAGGACCGATCGTCGTGGAGACCTTGGAGGAGGCCTTTGTTCAGCAGTGGACATCTTCCGAGCTGAGATGATGATGATAATGCTAAAAGATATTGGCCTGCTAGAACTGCAGTAAGTATAATATTAGAACGTGTATCTAAAAGTGTATTTCTGTAAGATCAGCAAAATATATACAGTTTATTCTGATTTGAAGTATATGTTGTTATTAACAAATAACGTTAGTCTCTATCATCATTACATAGAATAAAACAAAGACGCTGTCGCTGTCTGTCCGTCCCTATGCATGCTTAATTCTTGTGTGATTATGAAGCGGTTTTTTAAAATAGACAGAGTGATTCAAGAGGAAGGATTATATATATAATACATGTAGGTACACACGTGTGAAGCCCGGGCGAGTAGCTAGTAAACTATAAATTATACTTCAGTGAGGATTTAGCTGCAATATAGTACAGTCTACTTATTACCATGTTGCAATCATCACATTGCATAACAGTGCACGTCTGCTAGTCAATCGACACAATCAATCGTAACTTAAGACAAACTCAAGCAGCAGACAGTGTTGATAGATACTGTCTGATATTTCCCCCAAATTTTGTACAAAATCTCATAGTTCAGGTTGTGAAGAAAAACCTTTATACAAAATAAACCTGAACTCGGTTCTAGAATTTTTCTTTCTAGAAAATTATTTTTAGGCTGCTTGACATCTACAACAGTTCAACAGTTCTTGTTTTTGTGGTAATTCAATAGAATTGCCTTGCGTCGCCATTATCGCATATATAGCTTTTTTAGGTCCCCTATTTCACAATTCTTGTTCATTATAACCAAAAAGTTTGTGTTTTTCTCGTACAGGGTAAGTAAAAGTTATTTCTTTAAGCCCACCTATTCCACAATTCTTGTCGATTTAACCAGAAAGTTTATGTCTCAGCCCTATATGATCATGTTAAAAACCTCCCCATAGATTTCCCAAACACATTTGGTCCCAATATGATCCTAACCGCCACAAAATCTCTCTAAATTAAGAGTAAAAGTTGCAATATAAAATCAAGTTAAAAACCCCATTATAGATTTCTCAGACACATTTGTTTCCGAAATAATTGTTTCCGACCCTGACTGCCACAAAATCTCTCCAAATTAAGGGGGGGAAACGCTCAATCTGGCAACACTGGAAACAGAAGAGAGGCCTTTAAATGGCGCGCCGTGAGTTGGCGGTCTATACGAACAATGGCTACAAATTGGAGTATATTAGATGTCGGATCGATAGGATTAAATATAGCAGGCCAACCGTTAGTATTGGCTCTGTTCGTATGTAT